AAATTAAAAATATATAGAAAAATAAGCGGCTCATGGTGGCGCATGCCTGGTAGTCCCAGCTACTCAGGAGGCTGAGGCAGGAGATTGCTTGAGCCCAGGAGTTTGAGGTTGCTGTGAACTAGGCTGATGCCCCGGCACTCTAGCCTAGGCAATAAAGCGAAACTTTGTCTCAAAAAAAAAAAAAAAAAAGAAAAAAGATTTATGTCATTCTTTTTAACAAATATATAATTTGTTTTTGAGTGACATCGCCATTAATTTTATTTAGCTGGACATATTCTCTTTTCTTTTTTGGGGTCTTGCTCTTGCTCAGGTTGGTTTTGAACTCCTGACCTCAAGCGATCCAACCGCCTCAGCCTCCCAGAGTGCTAGAATGAATTGTTTTTCACTTTCCACAGCTGTGGCCCTATTGTCATCTCTTGTTTGACTTCCCAGGGAGGGTTTTGGGAGTGGTGGGGTGTTAATCCATCCCACCAAGACTAAGATTCTCTCACACAGTCTCCCCGTGTGACAGTCTGCTGCCACACGGACACAACTCCTCATGTCAGTACTAAACTTTGCTTCTCTCTCTCTAGTTTCTCTTGTCCCTCCAATTTTCTGTGTATTTGGGGAATTGAAGAACAAGGGTACCTTTCTCAGGCTAATGGAAGCGGGCAGAGGTATTTCTTTTCCCTCACACTCTGACTGCTGATGTCTGACATCCTTTGTTTTCATTCCAGGGGAAGCCATATGTCTTTGACCGTGTATTTCCCCCCAACACGACTCAGGAGCAAGTTTATCATGCATGTGCCATGCAGATTGTCAAAGGTAATAGATGTATTTTTAGAATGCATTTTCTCAGGCTCCCCATTCTCTACTCTACTTATCTCCACCACTGCTCCTTCCCCACCATCTCTTTCAGATGTCCTTGCTGGCTACAATGGTACCATCTTTGCTTATGGACAGACATCCTCAGGGAAAACACATACCATGGAGGTGAGGGTTCTGACTCTGTAGGGGGTGAGGAGCCATGAGGGTTAATGGCAGATCAAAGAATCTCAGTGGGGGAAGATCTGGGATCAAGGATTGCCTGGTCTAGAAGCACAAGGGTATAGGGGATGAACTGAAGGGCAGTGTTACAGGGGAAGTTCACTGGAAGCACTTCAACCTGCTGCAACTTACCCTGATTTCCACTACTCTAGTTTTCTTGTTTTGATCTGGAAAAGCAGCAGCAATACAAGTGCAAAGGGCTGCTCAGTCATCTCCTCCCTCCATTGAGAGGTAGACATGATGAACACCTCCTGACTTACCATGGCTTTCTTACCAACACTGGCCTTTGTATCCACCTGCGCACCTCTGAGCTGTCTCATTCTGCCTGACCCTGGCTTCACTCTGGAATACCCTTTCTCCCCAGGGAAAGCTGCACGACCCCCAGCTGATGGGAATCATTCCTCGCATTGCCCGAGACATCTTCAACCACATCTACTCGATGGATGAGAACCTCGAGTTCCACATCAAGGTGACAGGGAGTGGCAGCTGAGTGTTCCCAGAGGGGCCTGGGGGGAGACCTAGGATGGACCCACTGAAAACCTGGGGCTCCCCAGCTTGACCTCCACCCCTTACCTCATTTCTTCTTCATCAAGATGTTCTCTCCTGCTCTTTCTTTCCTGCCACTGTTCCAGCAGATCATGTTAATTTGGGCTTTGTGTACCATATTTAAGACAGGCCTTCCTCACTTTACACTCCTTTTTCCCTAACCAGGTTTCTTACTTTGAGATTTACCTGGACAAAATTCGTGACCTTCTGGATGGTGAGTGTTTTGCCCCAGTGGGTGAGAACAGTGTGGAAGGAGGGTGAGGAAAAGGAAGATCATATTGTTCTTAGATTAGGTTCTACCTGGCAAGAGGTGCAGAGGGCACACAGGACCTGAATCCTTTGGCTCTAGTCACCAAGAATTCCCAAAAATGGAGAGGATCAGAAGATGAGCTTAGGGGCTCAGGCCTGCATATAAACAGCCCAAGAGGAGCTGGAGCCCTGAGGAGGAGGAGAAGGAGGAACTGAGCCTTCAGCTCAGGCAGGGAGTTTAGCTTTCCTCCCTTAGCACATAGAAGAAACCACCATCTGAGTGGGACTGTAGGGTGCAGAGGGGGTGAGTGGAAGTGCAGGCCTTGCTCACTCTGCATTCTCTTGATTCAGTGACCAAGACAAATCTGTCAGTGCACGAGGACAAGAACCGGGTGCCATTTGTCAAGGTGAGAGTGGGGCAGAGCACCTGGGAGGGCCAGTGTGTTGAGAGTGTGGGTGAGGAGGAGGACAGGTCAGTGGCCTGGAAATTGAGGGGTGGCTATCCTGGAAGAATGAGATGTGCCAAGAGGCCAGGAAGAGTCTGGGAGATTAGAAAAGACACTGCCTTGAAAGGTCATTTGGTCAGTGTACAGGCAATTCAATTTGCAGATCAAAGTTTATGGGTCACCGTTCATTTGTCCCCTACAGGGTTGTACTGAACGCTTTGTGTCCAGCCCAGAGGAGATTTTGGATGTGATTGATGAGGGGAAATCAAATCGTCATGTGGCTGTTACCAGTGAGTGGGGCTCTTGAAGGGCTCTTTTTTTTCTCTCTTGCTCTGCTGCCCAGACTAGAGTGCAGTGGCATCATCATAGCTCACTGCAACCTCCAACTCCCAGGTTCAAATGATCCTCCTGCCTCAGCCTCCCAAGTAGCTGGGACTACAGGTGCACACAATGCCTGGCTAATTTTTCTATTTTTAGTAGAGACAGGATCTCCCTTTTGCTCAGGCTGGCCTGGAACTCCTGAGCTCAAGCAATCCTCCTGTCTCAACCTCCCAGAATGCTAGGATTATAGGTGTGAGCCACTGTGCCCGACCTTGAGGGGCTCTTGAGTCTGGGGGTCCACCTCTCTTCTGTGCCTGTGGGGTAGAGAGACTTGAAAGTGAGCAAGGGAAGGCTGTGTCCTCCAGAGGAGAGGGGCCCTGGTCTGTGTGCCCCTGCTGCCTGCAGGCTGTGGTGGCAGTGTTGGTCCCGGTGGGCACCTTCTCTCTTGGCAGGTGGGGTGGTGGTCACTGGGGCCAGGGGCCGAGGACTTCAGTCCTGCAGGGCAGTGCAGGTCCTGTTTCTCCCTTGCTCCTGCAGACATGAATGAACACAGCTCTCGGAGCCACAGCATATTCCTCATCAACATCAAGCAGGAGAATATGGAAACTGAGCAGAAGCTCAGTGGAAAGCTGTATCTGGTGGACCTGGCAGGGAGCGAGAAGGTTGGGGGTCCTGTGGGGATGGGGTGGCTGGAAGCCTTGGGGTGGTGGCCTTTTCTTTTTAATTAATTTAATTTTTTCTTTTTAATTAAATTTTTTTATTGGGATATAACTCACATACCATAAAGTTCACCATTTTAAAGTGTGCAATTCAGTGGTTTTTAGTATATTCACGAGGTTGTGCACCCATCACCACTAATTCTAGAACATTTTCATCGCCCATTCATAGTCACTCCCCATTCTACTCTAGCCTCAGGCCCTGTCAACCACTAATCCACTTGCTGTCTCTGTGATTTGTGGATCCTGGATGTTTCACATCAATGGAATTGTGTAGTGCGTGCCGGGGAGTGGGGCCGAGGGGGCCTTTGGCAGGAGAGTTTGGTTACTCCATCCTTTTCCTTGCTCCCTCCCCTCTCCTTGGACTGAACCCTGCTAAGTGGAAAAGTGGTAGTGACAGTCCTGTCCCTTTGGAGCTGCTCATGACACATCCATCCCTTAATGCCCTGGTAGGTCAGCAAGACTGGAGCAGAGGGAGCCGTGCTGGACGAGGCAAAGAATATCAACAAGTCGCTGTCAGCCCTGGGGAACGTGATCTCCGCACTGGCTGAAGGCACCGTGAGTGTTCCCTGGGTGACCCCCCCCCCACTGTGTCCTGCCCCATCTCCTCTCCCACCTTCTTCTAATGCCCCATCTAGTCATGCCCCAATTCATGGGGTACTCCATCCCCAGTCAGCACCTCTATCCTTTCTAATTCTCCATCCAATTTATTTTTCTGATTCATGGTCTCCCTCCTCCCCCAGAAAAGCTACGTTCCATATCGTGACAGCAAAATGACCCGGATTCTCCAGGACTCTCTGGGAGGAAACTGCAGGACGACCATGTTCATCTGCTGCTCACCATCCAGTTACAACGATGCAGAGACCAAGTCCACCCTGATGTTTGGGCAGCGGTCAGTGGCGGGATCTCCAGAGGGATCCTTGTCACCCAGCTTCTCGCCCCCATGGTTCTCTCTGCTCAGTGTCACCCAGGTCTAATGTAGGTCTTATCTCTTCTCCTTGCCCAGGGCAAAGACCATTAAGAACACTGCGTCAGTGAATCTGGAGTTGACGGCTGAGCAGTGGAAGAAGAAATATGAGAAGGAGAAGGAGAAGACGAAGGCCCAGAAGGAGACGATTGCAAAGCTGGAGGCTGAGCTGAGCCGTTGGCGTAATGGTTAGAGAGGGGTCCTGTGGGAGTGAGAGGCAGTGGGAGGAGGAGGAGGCTTGAGAGCCAGCCCTGCCTGGTGATGTTTTAGGTCGGGCCAATCTCCAAGAAGGAGATCAGTGTTTCTGGAAGAGTGCAGTAGAGCAATCGTGAGGGGGCAATCGAGAGGGTACTGCACCCTTCTGGAAGGATGCAGTAGAGTAACCGAAGAGAGGGGGCTGACTACCTACTGCTCCACTTGGTGGAAGGTCCACTTGGCAAGAGAGATCAGGGCCTGGAGGTCTTGGCATTGGAGAGCAGGAAGAACTTGTGGGTACAGCTTACTCTTCTCTCATCCCTCACTTTTTCTTGCCCCTTTGCCAGGAGAGAACGTGCCTGAGACAGAGCGCTTGGCTGGGGAGGATGCAGGCTTGGGAGCTGAGCTCTGTGAGGAGACCCCTGTCAACGACAACTCGTCCATTGTGGTGCGCATCGCACCCGAGGAGCGGCAGAAATACGAAGAGGAGATCCGCCGCCTCTACAAGCAGCTTGACGACAAGGTGAGGGCAGCCATGTAGGACACAGAAGTGCACCGCTAGGATGAGAGGCGAGGGATTGAAAGAAATAGCTTATACTCACTTTTTCTGATTTTAAAGGAACAAATGCTCATTATTGAAAATATGGAAAAATAGGCCGGGTGCAGTGGCTCATGCCTGTAATCCTAGCACTCTGGGAGGCCGAGGCGGGCAGATTGCTTGAGGTCAGGAGTTCAAAACCAGCCTGAGCAAGAGCGAGACCCCCATCTCTACTATAAATAGAAAGAAATTAATTGGCCAATTAATATATATATAGAAAAAATTAGCCGGGCATGGTGGCTCATGCCTGTAGTCCCAGCTACTCGGGAGGCTGAGGCAGCAGGATTGCTTGAGGCCAGGAGTCTGAGGTTGCTGTGAGCTAGGCTGACGCCACGGCACTCACTCTAGCCTGGGCAACAAAGCGAGACTCTGTCTCAAAAAAAGAAAATATGGAAAAATACATAAAAATATATAGAAGAAAATTAAAATCATCCACCATTTGGAGATAACACTGCTAACATTTTGCTTTTCTCCGGGCATATAGAATACAATTGAGATATACTGTATATGTAATTTTGCAACTGATTTTTTCATTCAGCATTCTATTGTGAGCAGTTTCCCACTTCATTAACCATTCTTCATATAAGTATTTTTAAATGGCTGCCTAAGAATCTGGTTGTCAAAATGTATTAAACCTGTCACTTACTATAGGGCTTCTAGTTTTTCTGGGTTTTTTGCTTGTTTTTATAACAAACAACTCTGAAAAGATTTTCTTTTGCCTCTTGTGCATAAGACTTTGCTTTTGAATGATTTGATTAGAATGGAGTAGGGGTTCTATGTTTAAAACATTTTAGACCTAGAATTTAAACAAACACTTAAAGCATTTTGCTGTTTATTGTCAAGGTCATACCAACTTCTAGAAGGAAAGAAATTTAAAGGTGAGGGCAGGAGTTGAGGAAAGAAGCTGAGGAAAAGACCTTTGAGGATGTGGGGTTTCTAACTCAAAGCTTAACCACTTCGATACCGCGCTCACCGGCCATGAAACCTTGCCCATAGCCGGCACTCATAGTCCGCACGATAGTGTGCTGTGCATTGATGATGAATTCGTTTTGCTCTTGTGTGATGAGGAAAGCTTTAAAGCACTGAAAGCTTGTTTTACTTTACAGGCAGCTTTAGGAAAATAACTATAATAACTCCTACTAAAGACTTGTTAAAAGGTCACAGATTCGTAGTAACTTATTAGCTAGGCATACACGCTGCAACTGCAGAGATAAAAGCTGTAAAAGTAAAAGCTTTTGGCTGTTGACTAAAGTTGATGCTTGGCTGTGCACCTTCATATCACTGTCGGCTAAAGTCGCTGTGCGCATTCATCTGTGGCTATCAACTATAGTCGACGCTTGGCTGTGTGTGTTCATCTGTGGCTGTCAACTATAGTCGACACTGGTACCGAAGTGGTTAAACTCTCTGGGCTTTCATCGGGATCCTCCCTCTACCCCCAAACCCTTCACCTGTGTCTCCCCTCGCCTCCCACAGGATGATGAGATCAACCAGCAGAGCCAGCTCATAGAGAAGCTCAAGCAGCAGATGCTGGACCAGGAAGAGGTGAGGAGGGAGGGCAGGGGACAGAAAGGCACAGAAGGGAAAAGGCACAGAAAAGACCTTTTAAAAATCAGCTGGAAGAAGGGCATTCTGCTTAGGGGCTCCGCACTCCTCCAAACCGAAGAAGCCTGGGAACTTCATGGGGGCTTTTCTTAGAGCACAAAATTTGGAGTCTGACACAAATTCTGTCACTGTATTTCTCTGAAGCCCAAAGCCCACTTCCTCTTGACTCTGCTCTGGGTGCGGGACTCAGCCTCCCTGGGCTCAGGAGCGGGAGGAGTGATCACTGGCAGCGAGCTCCCTCACTAGCCCCTCCTCTCCCTTGAAGCTGCTAGTGTCCACCCGAGGAGACAACGAGAAGGTCCAGCGGGAGCTGAGCCACCTGCAGTCGGAGAACGACGCCGCCAAGGATGAGGTGAAGGAAGTGCTGCAGGCCCTGGAGGAGCTGGCAGTGAACTACGACCAGAAGTCCCAGGAGGTGGAGGAAAAGAGCCAGCAGAACCAGCTGCTGGTGGATGAGCTGTCTCAGAAGGTGGTAAGTGGCGTGCGAGTGCAGGAGCTCCCCGACCTCAGAACGTCCTCCGTGTCCAAGGGGACCTGGGCTTCCTTCCAGGCCTGTACGTGTTTGCACCTTGGCACTGCTGTTCAGTACGTCATGAGACCCTGTCCCACCCTGTCAGTGCTGTCTGCCCTCCTGACCCCTCTGTCTTCCAGACCCTTCTGCAGGGCCTGTGTTCTCTTTATAGCAGCCGTCAGGGCCATGCATGAAGGGAGAGGCCTCTGCCTTGGCTAGGGAGGGGAGCAGGAGGATGGTGATGAGAATGACCTGAGGGGCTGTCCCCAGGCCACCATGCTGTCCCTGGAGTCTGAGTTGCAGCGGCTACAGGAGGTCAGTGGCCACCAGCGAAAACGAATTGCTGAGGTGCTGAACGGGCTGATGAAGGACCTGAGCGAGTTCAGTGTCATCGTGGGCAACGGGGAGATTAAGCTGGTGAGTGGGGAGAGACAGCAGTCTTGTTTAGGCCACTTTCCTTCTGGACACTGCTGGGAGATGCAAGGTGGGACAATTCAGGCCCTTGGAGACACTGACAAAGGCAGGCCAAAGAGCCCAGAAACATGCCTTCAAACCAGACCCAGGAAGACAAGTAGAGGCTTGGGAAGACTCTACTGAAGAGACACATTCTAACTGAATAAGGAAGCAGTCCACACGTGCTTGTAGCAGGAGTTAGAGGTGGGGGCGCAGAGTTAAGAGTGACATGTGCAAATCTGTGGAAGTGAGAGTAATCTGGGTGATCAATCAGTTTGATTACAAAAGAAAATGATATTGCTTTATAAGGTTAATATATAAGAGAGGGACTGTTGGAATTGGATTTTTAAATGCAGACAGAGGGCCTTAATGTGAAATGCCAGGGGATAGCCACTAAAGGTTGTTCAGAAATATACCTGCCCCACTTTAGTCCCTGTGTATGTGGTGTGTGCAGAGGCAGACAGAAGGTGGAAGGGATGGATAAAGGCTTCCTCACAACAGAGAAGCATCTCTTCCTCCTTTGCCCACCCTCAGCCCGTGGAGATCAGTGGGGCCATCGAGGAGGAGTTCACTGTGGCCCGACTTTACATCAGCAAAATAAAATCAGAAGTCAAGTCTGTGGTCAAGCGGTGCCGGCAGCTGGAGAACCTCCAGGTGGAATGTCATCGCAAGATGGAAGTGACTGGGCGGGAGCTCTCATCTTGCCAGCTCCTCATCTCCCAGGTAAGTGCCTGAGGTTGAGAGCCTTTGGGTGCTGTGGGAGAAAGAAGGCTGCTCTGGGCTTATGGATGAAACTCCGAACACCCACCTTTATGTCAGAGTCCTAGGGATCAACTGAAATCAAGGATAGAAGAGCTGGGGTGGTTTGGGGTGGGGGATCCAGGCCAAAGACGTGAAGGCTTGGGGGCTGCTGCCCTCTGAGCTGATGGGGTCTAAAGGAAGAGCCTCCAGAGGAGTGGCCCCCGACCCTGCATCCTTGTGGGAAGCATAGCTGGAGGGAGGGCTTGCGAGGAGAGCTGGAATTTATGGAGGGCCATGCTGCCTAGAGCTGTGGACTTCACTTCATCTGCCTTCTTCCTCTTGCCAACCATCTCCCACCAGCATGAGGCCAAGATCCGCTCGCTCACAGAATACATGCAGAGTGTGGAGCTAAAGAAGCGGCACCTAGAAGAGTCCTATGACTCCCTCAGTGATGAGCTGGCCAAGCTCCAGGCCCAGGGTAAGGCCTCCTATTACCTCCATCCCACTCATTCTGGGATCTGAGACCCCAGAGGGGACAGGGTGGAAAAGTCACAAATATCAAATGAAATCACCCCAAAGCTAATGCTGAAATCATGGACGCCAGTTCACATGCTCTCCAGCCAAGCTTTTGCACGTCACCCATTTGACATGAACCATACACCCTCTATTGTTCTCTGTCCCCGCTATATCATTTGGATTGTCCTAACCCAGAAGAACATCCCTGTGGGCCCCTCCTCTGCCCTGCCTGGAGCTCTGGTCACAACATAAAGTTCTTTCTGAAAGATGTAGGTTTGATGTAAGCTGTCTTCCCCTTTCCCACAGAAACTGTGCATGAAGTGGCCCTCAAGGACAAGGAGCCAGACACACAGGATGCAGATGAAGTGAAGGCAAGTGGGGAAGGTGTGGGGAACAACATGGGCCTGGCGGGGCAAGGGCTGGGCTGGCACTGGCAGAGCTCCTGTCTGGGAGTCTGGCTTTGAGCATGGGGTGGGGTTGTTCGCAGAAGGCCCTGGAGCTGCAGATGGAGAGTCACCGGGAGGCCCATCACCGGCAGCTGGCCCGGCTCCGGGATGAGATCAATGAGAAGCAGAAGACCATCGACGAGCTCAAAGAGTAAGGGTGGCTCCAGTCTCCACCAGCCCTTTCACCTTGCTGTGCCCACTCACATGTTCCCTCTGGGTCTGATTTTTTCACTTCGTGTGTCATGCCCTCAGCAATGCCACAGCTTTGCAGCCCAGCTTCAGGAGATACAAGGAATAAGGACTAGTTTCTATCGTAGAGGCCCTTATGATTAGAGAGCTCAGGGTTCCTTGCTCTTTATGGAAACAATGGCCTGAGTCTGGCCCTGGTGTCTGAAGATGGACACATCAATTCTAACTGGACTCACTTGTAGAGAAGAGGGAAAATGTTTGAGGAGCTGGTCTTCTCCGCCCACTCCCCCAACACCGTTAACATCTTTTTTCTCTCTCTCCAATATCTCCTGACCCTCTGTAGCCTGAATCAGAAGCTCCAGTTAGAGCTGGAGAAGCTCCAGGCTGACTATGAGAAGCTGAAGAATGAAGAACACGAGAAGAGCACCAAACTCCAGGAGCTGACGTGAGTGACTGGTTTGCCTGCAAATTGGAACTACATAGGCTCAGAACTGCTACTTGGACACACTTGCAGAGGCGGGACGCACACCTAGCGGTGATATGATGACCCACAGGAGCAAATATGATGGGGTGGGGCAGGGAAAAAACCGAGATCAGCAAGACCACTGCTGAGCGTTAGCCGATGCGGAAAGAAACCCTTGAGATGTTCTATTAAGTGTAGAAAGCAGTTTATGAAAGAATGTGAATGGTATGATCCCATAAAAATACACACATGGATATACATATATCTGCACAGAAAAAATAGTCTGGAAAGATACCAGAAGAGTAGTGGTGGTTTGATCTGTAAATAGTAGAATCATAGCTTTTTATAAAAACTGGCTTTATGTCTTTTTAAAATTCTTTCCTAATTTTTGCACAGTAAACATGAGTAACTTGTATAATATATAATAATAGAGATAAAAAATGGAGGCAGAATAATAATAAAATAGAGATAAAAAATGGAGGGGAAAAAAGGGAAGAAGGAAAGTCCTGAAGGATTCTTCTGTTTCCCATGCTCTCCTAATTTCTCTTGCTGCAGATTTCTGTACGAGCGACATGAGCAGTCCAAGCAGGACCTCAAGGGTCTGGAGGAGACAGTTGTGAGTGGTTTCCTTCTGTGCGGAGTTAACAGGGTTGGGAGGGCTTCATTTCCTCCTGCTGATTTCTTCCTAACCCTATTCCTCCTGCCCTTCTGCAGTCAGTCTGTGACATAATCAGGACACATTTTTTTTTTCCTAAAGGATGAGTGACTCACTTGGGTATAGAGACTGAAGGTTCTAATAATGTTGAATAGAGAAGACTGACCTGGTATCTGGCCCTCCTCAATTTTTCATCATTCCTTCTAGGCCCGGGAACTCCAGACCCTCCACAACCTTCGCAAGCTGTTCGTTCAAGACGTCACGACTCGAGTCAAGAAAGTGAGTGCCATTCTTGGGGTCTTACCAGCCCCAAATTCTCCTCCTTTCTTCAGGTTTCTCCAGCCCCTGGTGCCCCCAGTGAGGCTGGCTTGGTCTGGTCTGGGTGGGACCTGTTTCACCTTGGGACAGCCACATCTTTCCCTCCATCTCTAATCAGAGTGCAGAAATGGAGCCCGAGGACAGTGGGGGGATTCACTCCCAAAAGCAGAAGATTTCCTTTCTTGAGAACAACCTGGAACAGCTTACAAAGGTTCACAAACAGGTAAGAGTCTGGAAAAACGGTGAAGAGAACTTTTGAGGCCAGGTACCTAGGATACCCCAATTCTTGGCAGCCCCTTGGATTCAGGAAAATCTAGTTGCATGTCTTCCTTACTGTTCTCTTCTACTTTCCTTACTAATCCCTTCTTTATACAATATTTGGTCCCACTTTTACCTTGGTCTTTGTTTTATGTCTGTTTTCCCTTCTCAAAGTTTCTAACCCACTTCAAGTGGAATTCCCCAGGCCTACCTTGGGGGGAGGGTTTGACACCGACAAAGGTGTGGGGCTGTATCTACACAGGAGGAAGACTGGTCAGACTTTAACCAGAAATGCAAGGCAGGGAGACAATAAGAAGCAAGGGCATTGGGCTTTCTCTCTGGGAGAGAACTGCATATGCCTAGGCCTGGGGCAGGCATGCAGGACATTCAATGATGTCCTCAAGATGGCCCAACCAGCCTCTTGTTGGGGCCAGTGCAAAATCCTGTGTATTAAGTTGCTGCCTCTCTGTCTGTCCCCCTCCTTGCTGCTGCTGTTCCTTAGTTGGATGACTGGGTTTCAAAGGTATGGGGTGGGGACGTAGAAGGGCAGTCCACAGGAGTCAGGACAGGAAATGTTTGGTGTACACAGAGCAGGAACACTCTCACTAGCACCAGATAGCTGAGCCTTGAAGACAGGCTCAACAGTCTGTCAACTGGCTCTTACTTGATTCATAAAAGAAACTGTAACCTATATTTCATTCCTTTCCTTTCAAATCCACCTTAAAATTTCATTTAAACTCATATTCTCACTAGCCTAGAACTTAAACCTCTTTTCCTCCCAGTGTGTAATGCTCAGCCTATATAGTAAATACTCAATACATCTTTGTTTTTTTTGTAATGAATTCCAAACCTATGGCTCAGTGATAATCTGCAAGGTTCATTTATTTTATTTGGGTCTGCAGAGGGTTTTATTACTATCTTTTTTTCTTTTCTTTATTATGAAACAGTAACAACATTACAGAGAAGTTAGAAGACAGCTAGGACACATTTGTAATCAATTCTGCCATTCTATTTCTTTTTTCTTTCTTTCTTTTTTTTTTTTTTCTTTGAGACAGAGTCTCACTCTGTTGTCTGGGCTAGAGTGCCGTGGAGTCAGCCTAGCTCACAGCAACCTCAAACTCCTGGGCTCGAGCAATCCTTCTGCTTCAGCCTCCCGAGTAGCTGGGACTATAGGCATGCACCACCATGCATGGCTAATTTTTTAGTTGGCCAATTAATTTCTTTCTATTTTTAGTAGAGATGGGGTATCCTTTTTGCTCAGGCTGGTTTCGAACTCCTGAGCTCAAATGATCCACCCTCCTCGGCCTCCCAGAGTGCTAGGATTACAGGCATGAGCCATCTTGCCCAGCCTGCCATTCTGTTTCCATCCCTGTGTGTCCACCTTCCCTCTCTATCCAAATGCATATTATATTGTTGTTGTTTTTTAAAAAACAAAACAAAACAAAACGCCACCACTACATGCTGTTTCCTTTTCCCTCACTGAATCCTCTCTGCCTCTGTTCTAAGTCCCAAAGACCAAAAACTACTCACCTATAGGATAGAGAACTCACTACAATTTCCTACCTCAGCAGACACAAGACTGGAAAGGAAAAGGAGAGAGAGAGAAACTCTTCTCAGTTAACAGAATCTTAGTAGCCCAGGCTATAGCCCTATTACCAGTTAAGCTAAACAACTATCTTAGCAAAACACTGCTTATTATCCATAAATTGTCCCAAGGAAAGCTTCACCGAAGGGTTCCAGCTCTGCCTGCTACCCCCAGCGTTCCCTGCTGTGCCGATTCACCTGCTGTCTTCCAAGGCCCTGCTCCTTTCCCAATCTGTGCTGCCCCCAGTCCTTGTGTAGAACCCTGTAAAAGGATCAGGAAGTCTTTTCTGGCTGCAAGATGGTTGCTACCACACCTTAGCTTAATTTAAATGGGGGAGGGCAGCCCAGGAAGTCCTTGAATGTGAAGGTAATGAGCACAAATGTTTGTGAGACCTCAAACATTTTCTTTCCTTCCTATGGGGTGCCGTGTGTCTGTGTCTGTGTGTGCCTGAATTCCAGCTTCTGCTCCTGCTCCGCTCTGTGCCTGACCTGCGATGCCACATCACCCTCCACACTGCTACTGTGCTTTCCCGCCCCGCCCTCCTGTGCATGCCCACAGAGCCCCCTCCAGGGAAGGGGTGCCTCATCCCCATGGTCACTCCCTGGGGCTGTTGATCTGGCATAAGCTGGGAGGTGCGGGGGAGGGCAATGTCTAGGCCAGACGGAGATTGGGACAGGACACTGTCACAAGAGTTCTGGGCTGCAGTGGAGATGGCAGGTTTTGCTGCCTGGAAAAGATTATGTAACTTTTTAATGCCTGACCACGTTTTGCTCAGGGAGAAGGAAAGAACTGGACAGAAGAGCATATTACATAAAGGGAATGAGGCGTTCTGTGGAAACAATATGGTCTCCTCTTCTCTGACTCTTGATTTTTCTTTGTTCTCTCTCCTCACCCCTTTCTCCTACCCTCCACCGGTGACTATCTTTGGTCACTCACCTTTCTTTCGGCTTCTTCCCCCCGGCTCACCCCATAGCTGGTACGTGACAATGCAGATCTGCGCTGTGAGCTTCCTAAATTGGAAAAACGACTTAGGGCTACGGCTGAGAGAGTTAAGGCCCTGGAGGGTGCACTGAAGGAGGCCAAAGAGGGAGCCATGAAGGACAAGCGCCGCTACCAGCAGGAGGTGGACCGCATCAAGGAGGCCGTTCGCTACAAGAGCTCCGGCAAGCGGGGCCATTCTGCCCAGATTGGTGAGTGGACGTCAGTAGGCAGGTGGGATGACCTCCAGGAGCAAATTCAGCAAGTTCCCAAGTACCAAGCAACCAGATTATTGCTTCTTACCCTTCCCCAACCTTATTTCTGCCCACAAAAAAATTAAAAAGTGACTACCTTACAGGCAATTCAGTTCAACCCCAGCTACATGACCTCAGGGACCAGAGCAACTGCAGGTTCCTCACAGTCATTTCTTTTCTTTACCACAGCCAAACCTGTGCGGCCTGGCCACTACCCTGCGTCTTCACCCACCAACCCCTATGGCACCCGGAGCCCTGAGTGCATCAGTTATACCAACAGCCTCTTCCAGAACTACCAGAATTTGTACCTGCAGCCCACACCTAGCTCCACCTCAGATATGTAGTGAGTGACCACAGGTGTTGGCTGGATCCCCAACCCAAGGCTTGCTGGACCCTAGAAGGCATAGGATCAGGTCAATCATTGGCTGAGGCTTAATTATTTTCTTAGGTAGCTTCATTTCTGACCCTTTCTCAGCTTTACACCTAATATTAGAAGGTGGGCATCTGCCCTCCCAGCCTGCAGCCATGTTTGTTGACCTTTGCTCTCTGGGGATGGGGAGGGGCGTATGGGACTATCACTGAGGGTGAGTGTGGATCAGTGGTCCTTAGAAGAGTGAGGGTGCCAGAGGCTGCATCTCTCTCCTCTTGCCCCTTCAGCTTTTCTAACTCCTGTACCAGCAGTGGAGCCGCATCTTCTGGGGGCCCCTTGGCTTCCTACCAGAAGGCCAACATGGACAATGGTGAGTGGAAGAAATGGGTAATCCAGCCTTTGGGATCCCCAGGGAAAGTTGAGGCATAAGAAAAGTAAGTGACCTTGCTTTACAAAAACTACTAACTGAGCCTTCCTAGGGTGCCAAGGCTTCAAATAAAACGACACATGTATAGGCCAGGACTGATGATAGGAGAAGAAAAAAAAAAGAAAAAAGATACATATGGCCTGGCATGGTGGCATGCACCTGTAGTCCCAGCTACTCAGGAGGCAGAGACAGGAGGACTGCTTGGGCCCAGGAGTTTGAGGCTGCAGTGAGCTGTGGCAGAGAACCTGTGAACAGTCACTGCACTCTAGCCTAGGTAACATAGCAAGACCCTGTCTCTTAAAAAAAAAAAAGAGAGAAAAAGGGAGAGAGGCTGGGTACTGTGGCTTATGCCTGTAATCCTAGCACTATGGGAGGCTGAGGTGAGAGGATACCTTGAGGCCAGGAGTTCAAGACTAGCCTAGGCAACATAGTGAAACCCTATCTCATCTCTAAAAAAAAAAAAATTAGCCGGACATGGTGGTTCATACCTGTAGTCTCAGCTATTCAGGAGGCCAAGGCAGGAGGATCATCAAACCCAGTAGTTCAAGACTGCAGTGAGCTATGAACAGGCCACTGCACTCTAGCCTGGGTGACAGGGTTGTACAAAAACAAAAAAGTGACACTGTATCTATAATACAAGCATTGCAATCCATTCCTTTAGCTCTCAGACTCTCCTAAAATGGATTCTTCCTATTACATGCCTATCCCATTCCTTACTTCCTGTCCCCTTTTCCTTTCCTTAGTGAGGGGTCTGGGAGGCTTTTTCTCAAACAAAACAATGATGCAGTTGAGGTAGCTGAGGGTAACATTCCAAAGTTTACCATTTTCTCTAAGGGATTAGGATGGGATGGGGTTTGGGGAGACTGTTTCTAATGCCCATTGTCCTTTTTTCTTCTTCACTTCCTGTATTCTCAATGATGATCTCTTCAGGAAATGCCACAGATATCAATGACAATAGGTAAACCAGTCCCCAGGACCCTTGGGTTCTCTGGGTGGGACCAGAAGAAATGATTAAATGTCCCTTGAGCCCTACTTAGAAGTTCCCTGGAATCTTTGGGGGAGGAAGGAGGAAATGAGAATCATTCTTGCCATCACTGTGTTGTCCCGGAGATCCAGTCATCCCCTTGCCTCAGTGCAGGACACTGTCCCCTCCTTCAGTCCCATCTGTGGCTTCTTCCCATTCCAGTTATTGGGTCTGGGGGAAAATATCACAGACATCTAATGACCCGGGTTTCTCTCCTACCTTTGCAAACCTTGTGACCTTGGGCAAGTCACTTACATCTCTGGCCCTGAGTTTCCCTGTATGCCTGTAATGCAGATAGTCCCTGCCCTTCATCATCTCGCAGGAATGCTGCCAGAGCGAAGTGACCATGGCAGAAACACTCTCATTTATATGTAGCTGATTGTGGTGGGTCTCTTCCTGCAGGAGCGACCTCCCATGCGGCTACGAGGCTGAGGACCAGGCCAAGCTTTTCCCTCTCCACCAAGAGACAGCAGCCAGCTAATCTCCCACACCAACTGCTACGTACCTGCACTTTCAGGTAGCTTCAGGCCGCCTCTGCCAACCAGCCTCAGGTTGCCTCCTTTCTTGTCCACAGCCTCTTTGGTTCTCCTGCTTCTTTTTTTTTTTTAACCATCTCAAAACTTTTGCTATATAATTACCCCTCATCTCCTGCTTTCCCTGCTGGGGGCTACTTCTGTGCCACGCCATGTGATCTGGACACTGACCTGTCTCTAGCACCTTAGGCTTTCCCTCTGGCTATAGTAGCTACCTCTGTGGTGGTAGCTACTACTGCCTTTCTGCCACTAGGGGTCACTGCCATGCGTCCAAAGAAGTAAACTCGGCTGCTGTAGATCTAGAGCCATATGCAGGTTGCAGACCATAAATTTTGGGAGCACCTGGGAGAGCGTCTCAGACCTCTCTCCACCTCCACCCTCAGATAATTTTGGTTGGATAGGTATTTTCTGAACTAAGACATCTCCAGTAAAGGCGATGTTTGATTTACTCCTGCACCTGCGTCCTATCCTCTTACCTGTATATGCCACCAGTAAGCTTTAGGTAATGCCCGTGAAGTCTAACTTTTTGTCCCTCTAACTGAAGCATCAGCACTTCCCTCCCATCTTGCTCAGTGGAGGTGGAAAAGTCTCCCCTTTTCCTCCTCTGTCCCCAGGTCCTCTCCTCTAGCAGCACGGGCACCTTCTTGGTTCTTGTGTGTCACCAGGCTTCTTGGCAGGGTTGCTTTAGGGCCCAGAATTGGTCACTGGGATCCTGTTTTACTGTCCACTTTGGATCCTTGGAGATCTAGAAATCAGAGAACACAGCCAATCTCTTACTGGGCTGCATCCAAGCTGAGCCCTCTCCAGGGGTTTCCCAGGACAGCTGGCCAGGCACGCACAGACAGCAAAGCCTGAGAAGCAGAGAACATGAATGCGGAAGAGAAGCCAGGGAAGGGCTGGGATGGAGGACCAGGGGTTGGGGGGGTCTGGTTGTTGGTATTAAAGGAACAGGACTGTAAAGCACAGTGTGTGCAGATGCCACCTGGTCCTGTTCAAAGACTGAGCTACAAGCTGGTTCCTCACACCCTCTTTCTCTTTCTTTCCCAGTTTCTAAGATGGCCTGAGGCCTCTTCTTTCAGCATGCTGCAAACCCGTGGTCTCTGATACTAACTCCCTCCCTAACCCCTGTTGTTCGACTGTACTACGTTTGATGTCTTCTCTTACTCACTCTGTATCTCTTTGTACTCTGTATCTATATATCAAAAGCTGCTGCTATGTCTCTTCTCTCTGTCTCACTCTAAGTATCTGATGATGTATTTAGCAATTTCTAAGCATAGGCTGCCCTGCCTTCCTTGTTTGGAGCAACAGGGAGGAGGGCAAATGTTTCTTCCTCTCTCATATATTTGTGTCTCACACTGAGTGGTGTTAGTCACTGAGTAGAGGTCACGGAGATGACAAAAGAAAAAACAGGAGCTAGAGGGCTGTGATCCTTCAAACACACACACAGACACAGACACACACATGCACACACACAAAGCCTTAAGCAGAAGAATGTCTTAGCATCATAAGACAGAGAAACAGACTCTTCCTCCTTCCTCTTTCACATAGAGTACAGGGGACGGTAAGATGGAAGGGCTGCTAAATTAGACATATGATTTTCTTCATACACCCCTCACCTGAATCCAGGGATTGCAGGTGTTTACCTCTGCCCTACAAAGTCTATCTTTTGCCTCCCTCTTCCTATTTTACCCTGGACTGAAAACATGGCTTGTTCAAGGAACCATTTCCCTTTCTCTTCAAAGCTCCTTTTGATATTCTCTACCCTAGAGCTCATGACCAGAGTTGATTAACAATATTTCAAAAAACTGAGGAGGCAGACCCCTGCCAACGGTCTTTCAAATGGCTGCGCATCTGTCCATGGTGATAGTTACAGACAAGTGTAGTGAAAGGTGATTGATTCCTTGGGTTTGGGGGTAAACAGGCTGGAGAATTCCTAAGTATATTTTATCACAGTGCCCTCAGGTTGAAGCAATGAGCTGCATTCCTTTCTCTGTCCCATATTGGGTTGCATGTTCCTCCCTTTAGGTTTGGGGGCTTCTCGTTCATTGACAAAATCTCTCTCTCTAGTTGCCTTTCCTTTCAAACTGATTTTTTTCCCAATATACAAAATTTTTTCCCCATAAAGTTTCTTCTCTCACATCCCCATCTAGTATTAAGTGCACTTTAAAGAAAGGGGCAAGGCCGACTTTCTAGAGGTGGGGGAGCCCCAGGGATCAACCTGGATGGCTTTTCCCCCAGCCATTCTCAGCCCATATGCCCCCCTCCATAGTTAAGAGGACTATTGTTTTAGTTTCAGATGGTCCTTTCCTTCCACATGGTGCTAAGGTGGTTTTCCAGGTAGCTGTAGGAATGGAGGTCCCCAGCTAGTCCAAACCAAGAAAGAAAATCTGGTGTCCTGATGTCCAGTATTATCTAGAATGGAAGACCAGGATCCTCCAGCAGCAGGGCATCCTATCACCCAGCTTCTTCTAAGGCAAGAAAGAAAGCTCAGTGGGAGGGCCAGGTGCATACAGAGTCCTTCAAGGGAAAGAGGCCCTGGCCCCTTTACCTATTGGGCCCTTTTGAGCAGTTAAGGAGAAAGGCAGGGAAAAAAATATCAGAGGGGTGTGAAATAAATCCAAAGTGGTGATTTTCAACCATTTTTCAAAATAAATCTTACATAGAACCCTGATATAAAAAGCAAAAGTAATGCAGATCTGGGCAGTTTGCATCTTTCTTTTTTTTTTTTTTTAGTGGAAAATGCTTCATTTGTTGAGGAGCCCTTGAACAGTCCTAAGAGACCCTGAGAATTCTATAGAGTAGTTGGAAAACCACTGTTCTGAGGAAGGGGGTCCAATCTGGCTCCTCTACACTAAACCTGCAACTCAGAGAGAAGAGGGAAAGGGTGGGGTGGATGAGCCACACTGTCTCAGGTCCAGTTGGAGAAAAAGAAAGGTACCTGTGGTCCTGTGGACTTAGGCTAATATCTGCCAGAAGGGCACCTAAGAACCCAGGTTTTTTTATGTAATGTTGTCACCAAATGATTTAAAAACACATAAGAAAATGTGAAGGCATAGGACAGATGAGGAGAGAGGTGACACCAAGGGAGCAGCCTTCTCTTTAGCAACATGTAAGGGAAATATAATTTACTTACACAAATAAGAAATAACACACACACAGACCTTCACCAGAAGCTTCACACTACACCCTCCTCATCCTCTTCTTGCTCCCCACCTTCACTACAACCCTTTCAGAGAGCCAGGGTCACCACAAGGGGCACCTGGCCTGCCCACTCACATCTGCCAGAATGTTGCATGCCAGAGTGGAAGATAAACCAAACTGCACAAACCCCAGTGTGTATTTATTTGGTGTACATAGATGCCTTTAAAATAAAATACATTCAATGATGACTCTGTGTTGTTGGAAATCTTCTTTATCCCTCCCCAACCTCACTCCGTTCCATTCATGTAATGGCGTTGGACAGTGTGGTGTATATCCTTCCAGATGTTTTCCTATAGATTTACATACAAGGTTGGTTTTATGTTTTCCCACTTGACAATAATATCCTGGAGATCTTTTTTATGTCAATATACATGGACTGACTTCATTAAAATATATAAAAATTTTCATATATTTACCCTATAATTCATTCCACCATTCCACTGTTGGTGGATATCTACATGGTTTGTAATTTTTAACAAAAAATGGTATCTTGTTCTCTTCATTTTTTACCCAGACCATCACCTTTGTCCCAGCAAGAATTCCTTCCCTCCCCAGTGTGTCACCATTTCTCCCTTGCCAACAGCTCAATTCTCTTGTCCCAAGGTCATTTACCACAACCACCCTTCCAATCCCCCTTTTAGAGGATACCCCCACCTATCTTCTCTGCTCATACCTCAAAGCTTCTGAGATGGAGAAAACTACACAACCCAAAACTGGGGCAACTAAAAACAAAGAGCCTATAAACTTACCTGGACCTTCACTGCTGCCCAATATTCCTTCTGTGTATCCTTGCTCAGTGTCTTCTTCTACCCCCAGAGCAACTGGTCTAAGCGCTCACTCCTCAGGATCCCTTCCCACCCTCCTTTCTCATACCATGATTGTCATCTGCATCAAAGGGAAAATTAAGGCAATTGAACTTGAAGTTCTTTATCCCCACCCCACCTACACACTTACCTATATTTGCACATATCCTTCCTTCTCCCATCTGACAAGCGATAAATCTCCTTTCTCTGGGCTAAAGTGAGTCTCTTCTGGATATTTAAGTTTTGAGATACTTACATAGAACCCCAAAATATAAAATAACTAAAAGTGATGCAGACTTGGGGAGTTTGCATCTTCTTTGTTAACACCTATCTCAGTGATCTCTTTTCCTTGTAAGGTCTCCCTTCCATAAGTGTTCCTCCCATTACTGTGTGATTCTCCATGACTACCTATCTTGTTTTCTTATAGCCAAATATCCTGAAACAGTCCCAAGTTACCTATATCCACTTTGTCATCTCCGATTCATTCCTCAGTCCACCTTGATCTGGCTCTTGTTCTGCTCAAACTGCTTTTCTAAATTGTACTAGTTACCAAATACAATGGGCATTTCTTGGTCCTTGTACTTGCTTCACCTCTCCATGACTCTCTACTCTTTCCTTCTTGAAATTTGACTCCCCTTGGCTTCTGTGACCCTGCTGTCCTGGCTCCTTGTACTTCTCTGGCCACCCTTCTGAGTCTTCCTCCACCATCCTCTTAAATGCTCTATCTCAGGGTTCAGCCCTCGGTCCTTTCCTTGCTCTTTCAGGGAGATGTCATCCATGCTGGCAGATTGCACAACAATTCTTAAATCTGTATCCCCGGCCCAGACTATTCTGCTGAGCTGTGGGAGTATTATCCTCAGCTGCCTCAAACATGTTCCAAACTGAACTCATATTTTCTCCAAAACTGCTCTTTTTCATGTCACCACCATCTCTCCTCACCTTAGCTAGAAGCCTGGGGCTCATTCTCAATGCCTCCCTTTTCCTTCAAACCCCACATCCATTATGAATTTTCCAATTGACACCAAACTACATCTTTAGATGCCATCCCCTCTTTCCAGCCCAGCAGCCACTGCTTTAGTTCATTATCCGTTCCTGAACTGTTGCAATACTCCAGTTACCCTCCAGGAAGATGCCTGAGTGGTCCTTCTAAAAGGACATCCAATACATCAAAATTGCTTAAGGGATCTCCAGTTCCTACCCTCTCTAACCTTAAGCCTTGCTTCTTCCTCTGGTTCTCAAATTCTAGCCCTACCTTAATACTTACATCTTCCAGAAACAGACCAGTTCTTTCTTGTCTCCATGTCTTTGTACAATGTTCTACCTAAAAAGCCTTTTAACCCCTAGGCCTGAACTCTACCCAGTCTTCCCTATACAGCACAGTCTCCATCCTCTTGGAAGCCTTCCCTTACCAGTGGCACTTCCTTTCTTTCTGTCATTAGCATTGCCTCATACACAGCTCTCATATAGCCGTATTTCGCATACTGCAACTTTCTCCTTTGGCCAGCCAGTGACACTAGACTCCTAGACTCCGAACTCCTTGAAGGCAGTAACTGTCTTATCTCTTGCTTCAATTAAAGGAGGAGACTCAGGCTCTAGAGTAGTGCCTGGTATAAGTTAAGCGCTCAATAAATACTTGTAGAATGAATGAATGAATTTAAAGACTTTTGGGGCCATTGGCAAGAATTTTAAGATTTCCAAGGTCCGCCCCTCCCTAAGCCCCACGTGGTAAAGAAATGCTTTTGCAATAGTCTCAGGCCGGAGGTTACTCATTAAAAAGTGGGCAAAACCGGAAGGTGGCGATTTTGCTGCAAAGAAGCCCCCCAACCTGAGAGTGGATCGGGCCGGCCCAGGCAGCACTCCAGTCGCCTCGCTGACAAGCGGGGGCCTCGCAAGCCGCTGGCGGTCCTCAGGGGACAGCACTCCCAGGCGCCCGCCCCTGCGCCAGGTGAGCCCACCCACCGCGCGGGCGTTGGGGCGGGCCCGCGCCGGGAGACGGAGCGAGCCCCGCCCCGCCCCGCCCCGCCCCGCCCCGCTCGCGCGCTGCTGGCCAGCCTCCGGTCACATGACGGCGGCGCAGGTGAGCACCGCTTCCGGGGTCGGGCGCCCGGATCGCGGCCGGCTCCCGCTTCCACTCGGTCGAGTGCGCGGGAGACTATGGCGTCCTCCTCGGTCCCACCGGCTACCGTACCGGCGGCGACAGCGGGCCCCGGCCCGGGTTTTGGCTTCGCCTCCAAAACCAAGAAGAAGCATTTCGTGCAGCAGAAGGTGAAGGTGTTCCGGGCGGCCGACCCGCTGGTGGGCGTGTTCCTGTGGGGCGTAGCCCACTCGGTGAGAACCTGCCCTAGCCCCCAACAGCCCTGTGTGGAGCCCTGTGCTCCTGAGTCTCTGGGCGTCCCTGTTTCCAGGCTTCCGCCCCCTCGCTCCGACACTTCCCCCAGCCCACAGCGGCCCCTGTGCCCCCCGGTTAGTCTTGGTCCCTGCCCGCCAACCTTTCCCTTCTGGTTAAAGACTTTTCCACCCTGCTTTAGACTTGTCTTCCCCTCCGCCCTTTACTCCTCCACTCTAGTTCCACCTTCTACCCCACCTGAAATCCAGCTCCCTGTTCCTTGACTCCTTCCTGCCTGGTCCAGCCTCAGCCCCAGGCTACGGAGACTGGTCAGGACCCAGCTTCAGCTGGAAGGACATTAGGGGGAGTGGCTCTTTGAAGTTGGTGGGGGTGAGAGTGTGTGGGGGTGGGCGAAGGGGAGTAGCTGATGAAGGGGATCGTTCATTTTCCTTTCCACCTTGCTTTGCAGCCCGGGTTCTTGGCTTTGGAACCTTGGCTTTGTTTTGGGGAAGCTCTAGGCTTTCAGGACTTTTTAATCCTGCTTGTCCCTTCCTTTCCCTTCCAGAGGTGCAGCATTTCAGAGAAACTACCCCAGCCTGAGCCTGGAGGTTGTACTCGCTCAGGACCTATGCATATATACCTTGGTCTTAACTGCATCCCCATTGCTGGCAGGAGTGATAGTGTTTGGTGTAAGTGGGAGTCATCATTGACCAAAGAGAAGGCTGAGGAGCTTTGGTCCTGGGGACACTGGTTAGAAGCAGGAAACTGCCCTAGAGGGTATGGCCTGGGAGTTAGGAGGTGGCCAAGGAGACCAGTACATCTCCTTTCCTGAGGCTACCTCTGGTGAAGGAAGCACAGCCATTGCTCCTTTTCCCTCAGATCTGGAATGGGAGGGATGCAGTGATCTTGCATGTGACAGGGAATGTTTTAGAAATCAACTTCCTTGAATGGTTATGGTCATGGCAGGGTTGTGGAGGTGGAAGGTTGTGAAGAAGAATACAGTTTTTGTTACATTCTTAATTTGTGGTTAAGAGTGTTGTTTGGGGTGAGTTGGTTCCTTTTTGCATTTGTGGCTGTCTGGATGGTAATGTCTTATCAGTGAGTATCCAGTCTAAGGCACTTGGTATGGGGAAGGTTGATGGATGTAGGGCTGCCTCTCATATGCACCTTCCAGGTGACTCATCCATCCCAGAGGGAGGCTTAACAGGATGACAGGGAAGGTTTTCCCTTGGTAAGGATTGGGGGAATTACATGTAAGATCTGCCTCATTTTCCCTAGGTATATATACTTTAGCCCCAACACCCAACCCTCAGCCAACACACGTCTTCTTCAAGTGTCTGGAATGGAGAAATTCCTTGAACATATGTCTTAGTGATGATTCAGCTTGCTTAGCAGGTGGCAAGGAGGGGGCAGGAAGAGCTGAATTTCAGGCTTGGACTCTCAAGTGGCTCTTTTTTTTTCCTGGAGGAATATGTTCTGTCCTCCTTTTCGACTGAGAATGGGAGGAGTTGGTTGTACTGCAGTGTGTGGGATTTAGGTTAGACTGCAGTTCATAACCTCTGTCGAATGATCAAGTTGGCATTCATTTATTCAGTTAATAAACACTTCAGGATCACTGTGTGCCATACATCATGCTAGCTGGGCACCTGAGAGATGCAGACAACTAGAACGGGCCCTTACTCTTGAAGAGTTCACAATCTAGTTGGGGGGACTTACTACATTAACTAGTGATTAAAGTCATGTGATACATGTACTAACAAAAACAGGTGACAGGTATTGTAGCAACACAAAGAAGAAAGTACATCTCATGATTTCTAAGTACCAGAGCTCCTTTTCTCCCCTGAATTAGCAGAGTGCAGATCTGGGGCCTGAGAAGAACATGTGATGCTTGTGTCCTTCAGGCTGTGGATTGGTTTTACTTAGGGAACAGACTAACAAGCTCATATTCTCTGTCTGCATTTCTCCTGAAATCAGCTGTTCTTCCTTTACCTTACACCTAGACAGGTGGGGACCTACTGCAAAGAAGTGGGTAAGAGTGGCCTGGAAGGGACTGGTCCTGTTTGTAAAGAGATGCCTTTTATAGGATATAGACATTTCATTCTTCTTGCTGCTGTTGACCCCACAGAATCCCATTAATTCTTTGGTGCACTTTAAAAATGCTTAAAAAAAAAAAAAAGCGTGTAACTGTCTTGAATTTGCAGAGGGTATTTTTCTTTTCTAGAATTTCTCACAGCTTTAAAAATAGTCCTGAGTTGCTTACAGGGTTTGCCTAATATAAAATGACTGTTGTGAGCATGAAGTTCCACGGGGGTGGGAGTGTGAGGGGCTGTGTGTGAGTGTTGCTGACTGCAGTCCTTCTTGGGCAGCAGAAGGGGTTAGACACATTCTCTCACTTCTGTCAAGCATATGTATAGCCAGTGTTTTTCAAGGAATGAAGTTGCAGTTGCCCTTTCCCGATTCCTGGCTAGACACAGTGCATGAGTAGCTCTCCACACCCTTACTCACTGCTTCCCTATTCATGTTTTGGCTTATCAGATCAATGAGCTCAGCCAGGTACCTCCCCCAGTGATGCTGCTGCCAGATGACTTTAAGGCCAGCTCCAAGATCAAGGTCAACAATCACCTTTTCCACAGGTAAGTGGGGATCCTTGCCCTTCTTATGTTAACCTTCCTAGAAAAGAGTAAAAAATAATTTTAAAAGATTCAATGAGGCTGGGTGTGGTACGGGCGCGGTGCTCACGCCTGTAATCTTAGCACTCTGGGAGGCCAAGGCAGGAGGATCAATCAAGGTTGGGAGTTTAAGACCAGCCTGAGCAAGAGGGAGACCCTGTCTCTACTAAAAATAGAAAGAAATTAATTGGCCAATTAAAAATATATAGAAAAATTAGCTGGGCATGGTGGCACATGCCTATAGTCCCAGCTGTTCGGGAAGCTGAGGCAGGAGGATCACTTGAGCCCAGGAGTTTGAGGTTGCTGTGAGGTAGGCTGATGCCACGGCACTCACTCTAGCCTGGGCAACAAAGCGAGACTCTGTCTCAAAAGAAAAAAAAAGCATTCAGTGAGTTAAAGATTTTAGATTTAGAAAGTAGTTTACCAATTGTATGGTCTAACATCCTTCTCAATGCAGAAATTAGTTTTGTGCAAAGAAACCATGAAAATAATTTCCAATATTCCCTCCACACACAGTATTACCAGTATTATCTCTCCTCTGGCCTGGCAATTCCATAGAGTAAATGCATTCAGATGCCATTACCATTAGCTTTTTTTTTTTTTTTTTTTTTTTGAGGCAGAGTCTTGCTCTGTTGCCCCAGGTAGACATCATCATAGCTCACTGCAACCTCCAACTCCCAGGTTCAAGTGATCCTACTGTCTCAGCCTCCCAAGTAGCTAGCACTACAGGCACGTGCTACCACACCTGGCTAATTTTTTTTTTTTTTTTTTATATTATGCTTTTTAAAAAAATGCTTGTAACTAATTTTTCTATTTTTTGTAGAGACAGGGTCTCGATCTTGCTCAAGCTGGTCTCGAATTCCTGAGGTCAAGCGATCCTCCTGTCTCAGCCTCCCAGAGTGCTAGGATTACAGGCGTGAGCTACCACACCTGGCCTACCATTAGCTTCTGATAGGGACACCCTAAAAGAAATACTTGAGCCCTCTAAGCCCTTCTGGTATCAGAAGATGCCATTCAGAACAGTGGTACCTATTATTATTGACTTTAGGATATCTCTGACTTGCTTGAGATTTGGGAAATGCTGTTGTTTGGATGTACTAGATCCTAGCTGTACCAATACCACTTACCAGCCATATGACTTAGGCAGGTCACTCAATCACCTTGAGATTCAGTCCCTCTTTCTATAAAATGGGAATAATGTACCCTTTTTTTTTTTTTTTGAGACAGAGTCTCGCTTTGTTGCCCAGGCTAGAGTGAGTGCCATGGTGTCAGCCTAGCTCACAGCAACCTCAAACTCCTGGGCTCAAGCAATCCTTTGCCTCAGCCTCCCGAGTAGCTGGGACTATAGGCATGTGCCACCATGCCCAGCTAACTTTTTCTATATATATTAGTTGGCCAATTAATTTCTTTCTAGTAGAGACAGGGTCTTGCTCTTGCTCAGGCTGGATTCGAACTCCTGACCTCAAGCAATCCGCCCGCCTCGGCCTTCTGGAGTACTAGGATTACAGGCATGAGCCACCACGCCCAGCCTGGAATAATGTACCTTTAAACAACCTCATAGGACTTTGTGATAATCAACTGAGGTAGTATGCATGAAGATACAAACTGTCAAAGGTAATACTGTTACTTTGTTTTCTTACCTTAAAAACTCGAATTTCAGGGAAAATCTGCCCAGTCATTTCAAGTTCAAAGAGTATTGTCCTCAAGTCTTCAGGAACCTCCGTGATCGATTTGGCATCGATGATCAGGATTACTTGGTGAGAGTCCATTAAGGGATGAGGGTAGTCTTTTCTCCCTGGCAACTGGGAAGCCCTTGGGACCATCATATTTAGAGAAATGAGAGCCTTGACAAATGTGATTCTGTACCTCTTTGTGATCACAAGCATCTTCAAAAATCTAAGGAAAACTATAAATCCTGTCCTGGGGCAAGTGTGGAAATGTAGATACCTTAAGAATTTTACATTCAATTTCCTAAGTCCATATACAGACATCTGATTAGGAAGCCCTACTTAATCTCTTACCCCAGGGTTTCATCTACTTTCAGGAGCATTCAATGACCATTATCCTATGACTTGTATCTCCATATAAAGGGGGAGGAAAAGAGTCTATTCTGTATCCCCAGGTGTCCCTTACCCGAAGCCCCCCCACTGAAAGTGAAGGCAGTGATGGACGCTTCCTTACCTCCTATGATCGGACTCTGGTCATCAAAGAAGTATCCAGTGAGGACATTGCTGACATGCATAGCAACCTCTCCAACTACCACCAGGTCAGCCCTCTCTCCAGTCCCTTTCTTTCCCTCTCCTCCCTACTCATATATAGCTCAGCTTCCAGAGCATGTGGGGAGACTTCCTATCCCTTTTTCTCTCTACAAACCATTTTTCTACCCAAGAAGCAATTGATATATCATGTTTTTTTTTTTTTTTTTGAGACACAGTCTCGCTTTGTTGCCCAGGCTAGAATGAGTGCCGTGGCATCAGCCTCGCTCACAGCAACCTCAATCTCCTGGGCTCAAGCAGTCCTACTGCCTCAGCCTCCTGAGTAGCTGGGATTACAGGCATGCGCCACCATGCCCAACTAATTTTTTCTATATATATAATTTGGCCAATTAATTTCTTTCTATTTATAGTAGAGACGGGTCTCGCTCTTGCTCAGGGTGGTTTCGAACTCTTGACCTCGAGCAATCCGCCCACCTCGGCCTCCCAGAGTACTAGGATTACAGGCGTGAGCCACCACGCCCAGCCTATATCATGTTTTTGAAAGTTAGGAATTTCAAGAAAGGGGCCTCTGCATACCTATTTGTGTTTGACTTAAGAGAAGAATTTAGACATGTTCTTCCCAATTTAGTAGTTACAACCTAAAACCACTGGATATATAGACTATAGATTAAGTCAGAATTAGTTGAAATGTTAAAATCAAATATACTATCAGGAATAAATGTAGTTTGGAGAGAAAACCCAGATAAGTACATAATTGAGATAAATTGGATGTGAGAAAATCATATCCAGCTCTAGATGGGATTAGGGAAGCTATTCTGTCTGATCAGAATAACTTGAAATGTAGAGTATAAAAACTGTTTTGGGGCCGGGCGCGGTGGCTCACGCCTGTAATCCTAGCTCTCTGGGAGGCTGAGGCGGGCGGATTGCTCAAGGTCAGGAGTTCGAAACCAGCCTGAGCAAGAGCGAGACCCCGTCTCTACTATAAATAGAAAGAAATTAATTGGCCAACTAATATATATACAAAAAATTAGCCGGGCATGGTGGCGCATGCCTGTAGTCCCAGCTACTTGGGAGGCTGAGGCAGGAGGATTGCTTGAGCCCAGGAGTTTGAGGTTGCTGTGAGCTAGGCTGACGCCACGGCATTCACTCTAGCCTGGGCAACAAAGCGAGACTCTGTCTAAAAAAAAAAAACTGTTTTGATGATTAAAAACATTCTTCCTGGATGTCTTTCTAAAGAAAAAATTCGCCAAAATCAATGAGCAGGGAATGCATGAAAGACTCTAAAAGGAGTCTGGTTTATACAACAAATATTGAATGTCTCTTATAACTGGGCCCTATGTTAGGCAGTGGAGAAAGAGGGGAATAAAACGGCTGTGGCCACTGAGGATCTCTTGGTCTAATGGCAGAGACCAGTAAACCAGTATTAGCACCCCAGTAAGATGGGTACTATAGGAGAGGTAAGTATAGAATGTTCTGAGGGTACAGAGAAGAGCATCCTAACTCACCTGGGGAAGGAGGTATACTTGGAAAGCTTAAAGAGTTTTTTACTAAGAGACATCATAGGAGTTGATTCTTGAAGGACTAGGAGGGGTTAACCATTGGATAAGGTACAGAATCATGAGAGAGTTTGGTGTTAGGAAACTGCAAGAAATTCAGTGTGGCTGGGATTTGGCACTGTGGAAAATAGTCAGGAGCCAGATTGTGAAGAGGCTTAAACGTCACACAAAGAACTTAGGGCTTTATCCTGAAGGCGGTTTACAGGGGATTGATATATATGTCATTTAGAAACATCCTTGTGACAGCATGTTAGACAATGGATTGTACAGAGGGAATACTGGAAGCATGCTTACCAGTTAGGAGGTAATTTTAATAGTCTAGGGTAGAAATGATGAGGGCCTGGAAGAGCAGTGGCAGTGAGGATGGAAAGGAAAACCTTTTGGAGAAGTGTGGGTATTAAGGTACTAGAACCTCCAAATTCCAGGAGGGATAACTGGTTGCCTATTCACCAACAAGTGGGAAACAGAAAGAGGAACAGGTTTTTGGAGGAAAAAAGTTCTGATTTGGACATGTTGAATTTGAGGTTTCTTCATTTCATCCAGATAAGGATATCTAGTAAGTGTTTGGGGTATGGGTGTGGAATTCAGGAAAGAGGATCAGACTAGGAGTATAGATTAGAGAGTTGTAAATGAATAAGTGGTCATTAAAACCATAACTGTAGATAAAATTATTGAAGGGAAGTGTGTGGAGTGAAATGAAAAGAAGGTTGAAGACAGAACCTTAAGGAGCAAGTAAAGAGCACACAAAAGAAACTAAGAGTAGATGGACACTTTTAATGATTTATGCCCTACTGCATTCCATAAAGAATTTGAGGACAGAGAGGAGGAGCAGAAGGGTGGTATAGGCCAGGCATGATGGCTCACACCTGTAATCCCAGCTCTCTAGAAGGCCGAGGTGGGAGGATTGCTCGAGCTTAGGAGTTCGACACCAGCCTGAGCAACACTGAGACTCCATCTCTACCAAAGAGAAAAAAGAAAAACAAAAAAGACAAAAGTACACAAAACAACAAAAGGGTAGCATATTGGGATCTGAGGATGAAGAGAGTCTTAAGGAGAGATTGTCAGTAGGATTAAGTGCCACACAGTTGAAACATGACAATGACTAGAATACCCGTTGGATTTGGCAACAGGGATTTGGGGGAGATTTCAGAGGAGAAACGAGGGTTTAAATCTGATTTCAGTGGTAAGAGGTGTGAATGAGAGATGGGAAATGGATTGATTGCTGATTACTTTCCTGAGAAGATAAGCTATGTAGAGGAAGAGGCAGCAGCAACATAGAGATGGTAGCACTGAAAGAAGAATTTTATTTTCTTTTTTTTTTTAAATTGAGACAGGGTCTTGCTCTGTTGCCTGGGCTAGAGTGCAGTCATAGCTCACTGCAACTTAAACTCCTGGTCTCAAGCAATCCTCCAACCTTGGCCTCCCAAAGTGCTAGGATTACTGGTGTGAGCCACTGTGCCTAGCTAAGAATTTTTTTTTTTTTTTAACAGATGGGGTCTTACTCTGTTGCCTAGGTTGGTCTTGAACTCCTGGGCTAAAGCAATCCTCCCTCCTCAGCCTCAGTTACCTGGTTCAAAAGCAGAATATTTTTTCAAGAATCCAAATTATAGGCCATCATGCAGACATTTTTTGTATTTTACTATGGGAATCTAGCCCACCAAGAAATGCTGGTCTAGATAAAATCTTTTCATTAATAAGTAGATACAAGTTCTAATCCTGGTTCTGTGACCACTCGCATATACAGAGAGTCTAAGGATAATAACACCTGCCTTTCTCATATCAAAAGATGATAGAGGTGAAATGAGAGAAGGCACTTTAAAAGTAAGAGACATTATACAAATAGAAGAAATCAAGAGATGAGGATTCAGAAACTTCATGGATAACCAGTGACATTTTTAGGAAGCTTCCACCACTTCTGACCTTCTTGTAACCTCTCTACTTGAAGTTTTCTGCTCCACCCTGTATCCCATCTCTGGGCTGTTTGTGTATCTACTACTCAGCCTCTCCCCATTCCTTCCTCCCCTTCCACCCCAGTACATTGTGAAGTGCCATGGCAACACACTTCTGCCCCAGTTCCTGGGGATGTACCGAGTCAGCGTGGACAATGAAGACAGCTACATGCTTGTGATGCGCAATATGTTTAGCCACCGTCTTCCTGTGCACAGGAAGTATGACCTCAAGGTAAGGAGAGGATAGCTATGGGTTAGGGGTAGGCTCCTGATAGTCTGAAAATGGGGAAGGGCCTGGGAGGCATTGGATGATTCCTTTGAAAGGAAAGAAGGGTATGGGTTTGAGTACTCACCTTAGGAGCTGGGTTTGACTATTCTTTTAGCCACTCTGCTTACTTGGTCTTTGGGTCTCTCCACAGGGTTCCCTAGTGTCCCGGGAAGCCAGTGATAAAGAAAAGGTAATACTAATTTGAGGTGATAGGGTGACGGATGGGGGAGGGATCCCCTTGAAGGAGGAGATCCCCTTGAAGGGATCCTCTCAGATGAAGAGAGGATCCTCTTTCTCTTGAGGGGATAGGAATCACTAGCTATTTGTTCTTTTTTTAAACCACTGAAATGGAGATATAAATTTCTACTGATCAGGGATTGTTTGGAAGGTGCAGTGTGGGAACAGCTACTTTGTCACTGGCATGGGTTATTCCATGTGGAAGGTTTGGGGATGGGTGATGATGATGCCAGACTTTAAAAGCAAAATGCTTACCCTCCACCTCCCATTCTGGGCTCTTATATTCAAGCAGCTATTTTTGCTGAAGAAGGAGGAGGAAAAGTCAGCATGGAGGGTCTTGACTTAAAACCATCAGCAGAAAGTGTGGGGGGATGTGATTTGGGGTACAGCTGCAGTGACTCAGTGTGAGGAAGCCCTTGGAGGTGAGAATAGACTCTGGGGAAGCATCACAGTGTGGAGTCAGACGAGATCACTCTCTCCTAGAGGACACTAAGTTGGAGATGGAGCCCTAGACAAAAGGAAGGGTTGAGACCTTGGGGAAGGGATGTGTTCCCAAGATGTTCCTTTACCTGTTCTTAGGTTAAAGAATTGCCTACCCTTAAGGATATGGACTTTCTCAACAAGAACCAGAAAGTTTATATTGGTGAAGAAGAGAAGAAAGTATTTCTAGAGAAGCTAAAGAGAGATGTGGAGGTGATGATTGGGTGCTCTGGGAAATGGTTTTGTTTCCTTTTTGGTGCTTCCCACAGGGTCATTGTCTCTTCCATTCACAATATGAAGGAGCACCATATTCCCTTCATTCTTTGGGTCCTCTGCATGTTGCGGGGTGGGGTATGAAACATGAAAAACCCCTAGAGGTGTCCTGTAGAGGGGGTGGCTGGAGTGAGCTGAAAGGATGATTTTGATACCAAGACATTTAGGCACTAAAGGGCAGTAGTCTACCCTCAACCTCAATTTTTACACTTCCTTTCCCCAGTGATGGAGGTATAAGGGTAGTACCTGGGATTGAATAGGGAGATCTGGGGTGTCTGATTTGTCAGTGGGTCTCAGTTTCTAGTGCAGCTAAAGATCATGGACTACAGCCTTCTCCTGGGCATCCACGACATCGTTCGGGGCTCTGAACCAGAGGAGGAGGGGCCCGTTCGGGAGGATGAGTCAGAGGGGGATGGGGACTGTGGCCTGACTGGACCTCCTGCTGTGGTGGGCTCCTATGGCACCTCCCCGGAGGGTATCGGAGGCTACATCCAGTCCCATCGGCCCCTGGGCCCTGGAGAGTTTGAGTCCTTCATTGATGTCTACGCCATCCGGAGTGCTGAGGGTGAGAGATCATCCTGGACAATTTAAGGGTGGAAAGGGGAGGACTGTCCTTGGGGAACAGAGACCAGGGTGGTGGGTGGACAGCCTGCCTAGCTTTCTAAAACAAAACTGGTTCCTGGGGAAAGGGAATTGGGACTATGCTTGCTCTTCATTGTTGGTCCCTCTCCCCAGGAGCCCCCCAGAAGGAGGTATATTTCATGGGTCTCATTGACATCCTGACGCAGTATGATGCCAAGAAGAAAGCAGCTCATGCAGCCAAAACGGTCAAGCATGGGGTGAGAGTTCCCCAAATCCTTGCCTTTCCTGTCTTGACTATTCTTTGGGAAGAGAGAGCCTCTGTGCCAGAGAAATGGGGTGGCAAAAGGATGGAAATGGTTTGGGGTGGACTAGAGGGTGGAGAATGGGGGCGGATGGTGAGGTGGCCTTGACACATTGTTCTGTACCTCCTCTCACAGGCTGGGGCAGAGATCTCTACTGTCCATCCCGAGCAGTATGCTAAGCGATTCCTGGATTTTATTGGCAACATCTTTGCCTAAGAGACTGCCTGACTCTGTGATGTTCAAGGTGGTGGGGTTCTCAGAGACTTGAGGGAATTGTGGATATTCTAGCCACTACTTCTCTTCCTCCTTTGCTAAATTCAGGCTGCAGGCTCCTTCCATCCAAGTAACTCCATCTTGTTGGGTAGGCTCTTTCTGGTCCATAGAAATCTATTGCCCTTTCTCCCCTTTGTCCATTCTTCTTCCCTCTTTCCCTTTGCCCCAAGGCAGAGAGAAATCTGCTTGCTTCATTAGAGTGTTGTTGTTGACTCTCTCCCAAGTGCCTTGCTCTTTGTAAAATGTTCTGTTGTTTCTATAAAATAGGAGCTGGGGGAAGGGGGTTGTTTGCCATCTTCAGGACCTGACTGGACAGATGGACCTGGCTCAAGCAACTACTCTGGATGCACTTTGCTGTGTGGGATGAACTAAGAGTGTCTGAATTTTGCTGATAACTTTATAGAACTCACTATGGCATGCTTTCCTCCTGGTAGGCCCCAGGATGGAGGACTTTGCAGATACTACAGATGTGGGTGCAGGCATGCACACACATCATGGAATATGGCCAATCTTACACACACAGGTTGGGTGGAGAATGGTCAGCAGGCTGGCACCTCATAGAGGTGGGACCTTAAAAGGACTCTTGTGATTATGTAGGGAACTGGAGAGAATCTCTGTCAAGGACTGACTAAGCTCTTCTCTCTCCCCACTTCCACCCCCACCTACCTGTACTTCTGGGCACAGGAGCCCAGAGATGGCCAAAAGCATTGAAGCCTGGATGAAGGTGTTTGACTATTGCTGCTCTTCACTGGGACCTCATACCCCTCCTGGGGCTGGAACCCTTCAGTGGGGATGTGGCCAGTTCTGGAGGTTGGGATGGTCGGCCAGGGGCTGTGAGATTCATTCCCATGTTAAGTTTGCTTTCTTCCTGTCTAGCCATTCCCAAGGTTTATTCCCAGCAGAAGGGAATACCCTTAAAAAAAAAAAAAGGGCAGGGGACTACCTTTACCTGGATCAATTCTGGTCATTTCAAGAGGATGGAAGTCTCAAGTGTGGGAACTTCCCCTACTCCCTGGATATGTGTACCTAGCACACTTCCTTCCCCTACCCCTTCTCAAATTCTTTCTAGTTGGATTTGTTATTCTTTTCTCTTCTGTCCTGTCTTATACTGCTACTGTGTCTCCCAGGGGACAGATGGCCTTCTTTGTCATCTTCACTCTCCACCCCCAGAGAGGAGTCAGAGCCATAACTCAATCACCCGGCCCCCTCCAAAGATAGTTAAGTTGATGCATGATATTCTCAGAATGCAGAGGACCCTGATAAGATGAGACAGATTGTCCTCCCCTCCCCACTACTGCCTTTGGGGCTAAGACACCCATTCTTCTTACTACCCTTCATCCCCCTTGAGGCTTCCACATTTTTTTTTAAAAAAAGATGGGCCACCAGCATCTGGCCTGCAGGGATGCAAAGCTGCTTTGCTCTGTATCTGGCTGGACTGATCTATCTCACAAGAAGTCATGAGAGCTAATGCAGAAGCCCTCCTTCTCCTTCATCTTTAGCTCCAAAGGAGGTAGCAAGAGGAGTCCCCAGTAAGGAGCCCCTATAAAACCTACCTAATGGGTCTTTTTCATTCCAACCCTCTGCCTTTCCCCTAATGAATGCAATAAAACTCTGTGACACCAGCAACCATTGTTCTTTGGAAATGGGTTTTCTGACCACATGGCTAATGTGTGATGGGCAGTATGGTCTTCATTTGTTGCTTCTGTTTTTCTTCTTTTTTGTTTTATTAATAATAATAATTAAAAAAATCTTGTGTATTTACTCCCATTACCATCACAATACAAAATAAATTATTCAAATTCCTCCATAAAAATGCCTTTTCACTTTTCTGAGGAAGCCTGTGCTTAGGGGTGCAGAGACCAGCTGAAGAATTCTGGTGTTCAAGGTGTTGGGCCCCTGACTAAGGATGTGGGTTTGTGGACAGATGGCTGTGAACTTAAAATGTTGTGAGGGGTGTACATGGGACAACAAGAATAACAACTTATTCTTCTACTTTGTGGGAATTCAGAGGTAGAGCCGGGCAAGAGTGGGATGATGGGACCCTTTTTCCCCCAGGGCTCTGTGTTTGATCATACTCTATAAAGGTGAGTGGGCCTCTCAGCCCACCAGCTAAAAGAGAAAGGCATTCAGTGTTCCCCCAGGCTTCCTGGGAAAGCTGTCCCTTGCCAAAGGGCAGGAAGAGTACAGCTGGGTCCTGGGAAAGTGAAGAAAGTGACCAGTGGATGAACAGAGGTTGTTGCCAGTCTGGGAGACTCATGTATTGGCTGAGGAGGTCTTTTGGCTGGTGGAAAAACCTGGTTTCATGTGGCCCCAGGGAAGTGAGTTGGACTGGGGGCGGAGACTGCTCTGATGTGGGAAGCAGAACAGAGCTTTTTTTTTTTTCTTTCTTTGAGAGTTTTTAACTCTATTTGAACCATACACTTGACACCACCACCATCCCAAGCCATTAAAAAAAATTTGCCTTCTGCACCAGCCTCAGTAACCCTATTTATGAAAAGAAAAATCAGAGGCACTTACCTATACCCACTTGAGAGTAGGTTGTGGGGGTCACAGGAGGTAACAATCTAGAAAGAGGCAAGAGATGAGGGAGGGGATTGAAATAGTTTAGTACTGGGATTTGTTTATTTTTTAGAACCAGTGCTTTCCTTTTTACTATGACTCTTCCCATCCCACATTGTTCCTCAAAGGCCCCTCTACCGTAAGGATTTCAAAAAATTGCCCCCCCAAATACCCACCGACACTCCTCACCCACCCACCCCCACTACCAGCTCCCAAAAGCTGCCACGCAGCTGGCTAGGAAAGAAAAGGGAGAGGGCTCCTCCGGGAGGGGGAAGAGAGAAGGGTGGCGTCTCTAGGGATTTAACCTCCTACCCTCAGTTACATGACGCCACCCCCTCCCACCAAAGACTGGGAAGGCGCCTCCATTTTTGTTTTGGGGCGGAAGGGCAGGGGCTCGCGGATGGCAGGGGTCAAAGGAAACGGTGATTATCACCTGTGAGAGGAAAAGGGGTGCTGTCCTCCCTCCTTCCCTTTTCTTCAGTCTGCACCCCTTGCAATCCCCCCTAGCTTCTCAGGGTCTCCCCCCCTTGTTGCTAAGGCCCGGACCGTCATCCCAGCAACAGCCTCAGTCATGTGACCGGCAATGGCGGCGCTGACGAGAGGTAGGTGAGCCCGGCGCCCCCCACACCCACCGCGCGCCCCCCGGACCCGGCTCGCAGCCCCCGCACGTCCCCCGCTCCCCCTGCGCCCTCTCCTCCTCTTCCTCCCATTGCGCGTGGCCCCGGGGCCCCCGTCCGTGCCCGGTCGATCATCTTGTACCCTCCAGCCTTGGCCTCCATTTGGGGGTTCTGAGGGCCGCGATCCGGCCGACGTGCACCCCTACCCAGCGGTGGGGCTCCGGGGGCTTTGGCGAGTGGGGGATGTGGGGAGTTGGTTCCGGGTCGGGTCTTGGAGGAGGCTGTGGGGGGGAGGGGGAGAGGTGCCTCAATGGATGCCCCCAGGGACCCTGTCCTTCCTGGCTGTCCCTGCCGCTGGCCTCCATCTGAGGGAGGGACTGGCCGGTGTTCGGCCTGGGTTGCCCCAGAGGAATTACAGACGCAGCCTAAACTGGGGCCCCGCCTCCCTTCTCTCTGCCAGCAGGACTTGGAGCTAGACACCTAGGTCCTGGGTCCCCTCTGATGGGGCGGGGTGGTGTTACACCGTGAACAGACGGCTAGGGCTGAGGCTATAGGGTTCCATTTTCACTTTATGAATCTCCAGGTGCATCTGGCCTTGAGGGGACTATAATGGAGGCATGTAGGGACAGCTGCTCCTTTTGGGATCAGTCAAGAAATTGAGGTCACACTATTGGCCCCTCTTTCTGTTTGAGCTGCACTTGGAGGTGTTGTGGGGACAACCCTGTAGCTGAATGTGACCAGACTCCGGTGATACATCAGGCCCCTTCAGCTGAACCCTTGAGTGAGCCCCGCCCCTGCCTAAATGCCAGACTAGGGAGCTGACAGGCAGCGCTGCGTGTGCTGAGTTAAAAGGTGACAAAGGAGAACTTTGTTATTGCAGGGGCTGCTGCCACTTTGTTCACAGCCTTTAAGAATTCAGCAGAAGGGATGGAGTTAGCTCTCAAGGAAGGCTCCCTGGCAATAAGGGCTTAATTCTTTGGGAATGTGGAACAGGGCAAGTAGTTGGGGAGCATAGGAAATATACCTGTCCATGTAATCTGAGGGAGGTGGCAAGACCTCCATCTGTGTGGGTTTTTTCTTTCCTGACTTATCTGCACCCTAGGCTTTCTTGAGAGTCTCAGAGCTGGGAAAGAAAGGAGGAAGGTTTAGCATGTTGAAATTCCTTCTTTAGCAACTTGGGAAGAGGCTAGGGATGATACTTCTGTAAAGGAGAAAATGGAAGAGCAGTTTTGTTTCTGGGCTGGCTGGGGAAAATGCTAACTTTTGCCATCATAACCCTTTACCCTTCCCCCCACTCCCAGTCCTGGTAAGCTGAGTGTGGATGGAAATAGAGAGATTTCTGCAGCCATCACCTTCCATGGGCTTTCCAGGTACCTGCCTCCCAAGGGAACCTCAATTTTCACCCTTAAATACTTTTCCTCCATTCCATGTTCCAAGTAATCCCATTCCTAGTAACTTGCACCCAAGTTCCTATCTCATTTACATGAGCTGCTGAGTTGGGGCCTATGGGGATTGGGGGAAGGGATTTCTCACTTTCCTCCCTTTTCCTTTCTGCCCTTCTAGGTTGCACAACCTACAAGTAGGGAGCAGGGAAAGAGAGTGAGCCTGCATGCCAATTCTAAGCTCTTCAGGATCAAAGTGAGCAAAAAGGAGGGTGAAAAATTCTCCCTCCCTTTTAAAGACCCATTTGTCACCCAGAGGGGGGAGGGGCAGATTGTTTCTGTGATCATGGGAGAAATGAAAGGAGAATCAACACTGATGCTTGGCTTAGATGATAATAAAGTTCATGGAAACTTTCCTGCTCTTCAGTGGGTGCTGGGGTTTGGAAGATAAAGGGAGATAGAAAATTAATTTGGGGGAGCGGTTGGGGGTTGGTCTTTGAGAGAACAGAGGTAACATAGGGTTTAGAAGGAACCTGAAGTAGGAGGCATTGATATTTGTCAAATGGGGACCCCCCACCCTGAGTCCCTTTCACCCTGGGGGCAGTGTCGTTCGTCCTGTCCAGAATGGCAGCCTGTGGAGGCACCTGCAAGAATAAAGTGACTGTTTCCAAGCCTGTGTGGGACTTCCTGAGCAAGGAGACCCCAGCCCGGCTGGCCCGGCTTCGGGAGGAGCACCGTGTGTCCATCCTCATAGATGGCGAGACTTCTGACATCTATGTTCTGCAGCTTTCCCCACAGGGCCCTCCCCCGGCCCCTCCCAATGGGCTCTACCTGGCCCGGAAGGCTCTCAAGGGGCTGCTAAAAGAGGCAGAGAAAGAGCTAAAGAAAGCTCAGAGGCAGGGGGAGCTTATGGGCTGCCTGGCTTTGGGGGGTGGAGGGGAGCACCCTGAGCTGCACCGCCCAGGCCCACCCCCTCTCCGAGCAGCACCACTGCTACCCCCAGGGGCACGGGGGCTCCCTCCTCCTCCTCCTCCCCTGCCCCCTCCTCTTCCTCCCCGCCTTCGGGAGGAGACAGAAGAGCAGGAGAGCACCTGCCCCATCTGTCTGGGGGAGATCCAGAACGCCAAGACATTGGAGAAGTGCCGGCATTCATTCTGTGAGGGCTGCATCACCCGGGCCCTGCAGGTGAAAAAGGCCTGCCCCATGTGCGGCCGCTTCTACGGGCAGCTGGTAGGCAACCAGCCCCAGAATGGGCGGATGCTGGTCTCTAAGGACGCCACCCTCCTGCTGCCCAGCTATGAGAAGTACGGCACCATTGTCATCCAGTACGTCTTCCCGCCCGGTGTCCAGGGGGTAAGAAGACCACAGCCTGTCCTAACCTTTTAGTTTCCCCAGGCTCTGACCTAGGAAAACTGGGGGAGGGGGAGTGAATTTGTTAAATATGATGCAGTCTTGCTGTCTTCCACTGTGCCTTCCTACTCAGTGCTCTGGGGCTAGGAAGTTCCCCTTAGGCCCAGCTTTTCCACCCTCACGACCCCAAGGCACACATGAAAATCAGATAGGAGAGAAAGGAATTGCACATGATGAATGTGGATGTTGACAAATATTCTTGGCAGAGGTAAATTCTGTGGAGGTGGTGGCTCAGGTGCAGACAGGCAGAACAGGAAGGGATCTGACCAACCTGAGCTAGGAGTGTTATTCTATTCCAGATTTATGAGAGAGTAAAACCTTGATGCCAGTGGAAAGTAAGAACAAGAGTAGTTAGGGCTTATAGGCGTCCTTCTGCCAGAGAGGAGTAATGTCCAATTTTGGTTTGCAGAGGGGTGAGGAAGTTCCAAAGAAGAATAATAAAAAAATGGAACAGGTTGAACAGTGGCAGAAACATTAGGAGTGTTAAAAAAAAAAAAATCAGAATACTAGGGGGGTACACATATTTTGGTTACATAATTTGCTTTTGTACAATTTGAGTCAATGTTTTTTTTTTTTTTGACAGAGTCTCGCTTTCTTGCCCAGGCTAGAATGAGTGCCATGGCGTCAGCCTAGCTCACAGCAACCTCAAACTCCTGGGCTCAAGCGATCCTCCTGCCTTAGCCTCCCGAGTAGCTGGGACTACAGGCACGAGCCACCATGCCCGGCTGATTTTTATATCATAAATATTAGTTGGCCAATTAATTTCTTTCTATTTTTATGGTAGAGACAGGGTCTCGCTCAGGCTGGTTTTGAACTCCTGACCTTGAGCAATCTGCCCGCCTCGGCCTCCCAGAGTGCTAGGATTACAGGCGTGAACCACCGCGCCCGGCCTGAGTCAATGTTTTTTAAGTATGCCCTTCACACAGATAGTGTGCATTGTACCCATTAGATGTGAATTTACCTATCCCCTTCTCCCCCCTTCCCATTAGGAGTGTTTTCAGGTAGAGAATGGAAGTCTGAAAGATAAATTATTCTCAGTCTTCACATTTCTGCTGAATTATCTGGAGAGTAAGAACCAGCTACCTTCCTTCACTTCTGAGAATCCATTTGTTGCTGAATTGAGATGTGAGGGATTGAGACAGCAGAAAGAACTTCTTAACAATAAGGATTATGTCTGGAAACAGGCTCTTGCTGCCCAGGCCCTGTAATCTCTCCTTCCGTGGAAGGCTGTGAGCCTTCTGCTGCCCTGTCAGCATTAGCTAGGGGTTCACAGACAGCAGGTTGGCCACGATGACCCTCCATTACCATCTGGGCCTTAGGATATCCAGCTGTTCACTGCCCACTCTGCTCCCTCTTCCTCCCAGGCTGAACACCCAAACCCAGGAGTTCGGTACCCTGGCACCACACGGGTGGCCTACCTCCCGGACTGCCCTGAGGGCAACAAGGTGCTGACCCTGTTCCGCAAGGCATTTGACCAGCGTCTCACCTTCACTATTGGCACGTCCATGACCACAGGGAGACCGAATGTCATCACCTGGAACGACATCCACCACAAGACCAGCTGCACAGGGGGACCCCAGCTGTGCGACACCTGTTCATTTCCTTTCCTTTGGCTCCTTTCCTTTTCTTCATTTCCACTGAGGGAACAACATCAACCCCCTCACTCTGGGAGCTCCTAACTGGAGAGCACCACCTCTAAACTGTTGAGCCATCTCTTCCATCTCAGTTTTTCCTACATTCAACCTGGTCCTGATGTGCCCAGCTTAACCTGCAAAAATAAGCAGAATTGGGCTAAGTTATCTTGGGTTTGGAGATCACCCCACCCGCAGCGAAAGTGGGAGGGGTGTGAATGGGGCCTCCCCTGAGAGTGAGCATGGGGGTAATATGAGCATGCCCATACAGCTAACCTTCACCCTCATTTCTGTCTGCTCCCAGGTTTGGGTACCCGGACCCCACCTACCTGACCCGGGTGCAAGAGGAACTGAGAGCCAAGGGTATCACAGATGACTGAAGGACATCCCGTTTGCCAAGGCCCCTGCTGTCCTCCTCTACTAGGACCCAATGGAAGCCTCTGTTCTCCTTTCTGCCCCCTGCCCCCCACACCACACAAGTAGGGGACCTGTCTGACTGGGAAGGGAGTTCAGAGGGGGAGGGGGCAATCCCTTCTCCTGTCCCCCACTGGCCAAGTGTTACAGTGCAGCGTGAGCCACTCCCTTCTGGCAGAGGCTGATCTCCAAGGCTCTGCTCTCTGCTCCCCATGTACATACTCCCAGTTTCCCTGGCCCCTCCATTGCCCTTGGCTTTTTCTGGTATGTGCTGTGCTCCAGTAACTAAACTGAGAAAGGACCTGGGTGGAGAGGGGAGGGTCTCTTGAACCACCCCACCCCACCCCACCCACATACTGCTCCACTGCTGAGCTCTACCGCTGAATTTGGGTACAGGGAAAAAGGAATTGGGCTAATGTGAGTCCTCCCCGCCCATGGAGCCAGCTGTGTGTGTTCATCAGATACAATTCTCTTACCTTGACCTTGTCCTTTCTCTCCTGTGTCTCAGTCTCTGTCAGTCTCTCTGTCTTTCTCCTGCTCTTCTCTGCCCCCTATAAGGAGCCTCCTTACCCTGTTCTGGAATCGCCGCCAGACTGTAGCTTTTAATTTAATAAAAATAAAGTAAAATATGCAACTCTTTATGCCACACCCGTTCTGTTCCACGGACAGGGTTGGGTGCGGTGGGGAGGAGACCTGCAGAGAAGGGGAGGGGGATAACGGGGAAATCCTCATGTGCCTTCGCGTAGTCCCTCTGCCTCCTAGGGAAAAGGGATGTATTGAGTGGGCTCTGTCATAACACTGCGAAGCCCTTGGTCATGCTTCGATGTTGGAATCAGGATTAAGAGGAATTTGTTTGTTGCCGAACTACAGTAGTAGAGAAAGGAACAACCCTACCCCCTTTGCAAAGTTTGGCTGGGGTGGGAGTGGGGCGGAGCCGGGCAGGGGGCGAATCCGGATTCGCCAGCAGAAACTCCCCGGACGCACGCAGGCTTCAAAGCCCCCCAGCTTCCGTGCCCCCTCGGCCCTGAAACTTGGAGCAGGGTAGGGGTCCAGCATGAAGCCCCCGGACCGCCCCCGGCCCGCCCCTGGCCGCACTGACCGGATACTGGGGGTCATGGGGGGCATGCTGCGCGCATGCGCCCTCCCTGGGCAGGAGGGGGTAAGGAAGGGGGACCGCGGTGGGGTTGGGGATCTTTCCGGGCCTTCAAGAGGGCTGTACCCCACAACTCGATTTGCCCGCAAACAAGGATTCTGTGGGGCAGTCGCAGGAATCTATCAATTCTTTTAAGAGGGCCATAGCCACGTTCAGGGAGACCCTTTTTTAACGTCGTGGATTTTGACAAGAGGGAGAAGGGGGAGGTCAAGGCTGCCTAAGAGGGCGGGTTCCTTACAGTCGTTCTGTCCCAGCAGCCCCCGAAGAGAAGCCCCTTAGGGCCGGGGTGTACGGAACCAGAGTCTGACTGTACGGAGGGAGATCAGAGAGGGGATTGCGACCGTGAGGTTCCCGCCTGGGCTCTGCAGCCCGGTAAGAAGCTGGGGACGGGGTGGGGCACAATTTGCCATCGTGCGCAAAGTGGGGAATTCAAAAATATTCTGCTCTTATTAGCATAAAGTACGCATCTAATTTGCACGAGACCTATTTAATCACAGAGGCCTTCATGCTTCTCCTCGCCCTCTAGTCCGATGTCTGTCCCCCACTTCAGTCAGTCCCGCAGGCGAAGTGTACCCGCGCCCCACCCCTGGCCTCTAGCCAGCCCGGGCTCCAAGGACTTCGCCTTAATTGGTGATCAGAGTTAGCTGGAGTCCCGGGGCCTGGAGGAAAGAAGGGTCTGATGAGAGGGCGGCACCTGGGTTGTGTTCCCCACAAACAGCTCCCTGTACACGCACGCCCTACTGGGGGCCTTGTCCACCCCCGCGCGGCCAGGGACAGCCCCAACCCCAAGACATCTTTGCACAGGCCAAGGCCTCATCCACTGACTTCTCCACCGCAGAGGCCGAGGGGCGACCTGGGCAGACCCCGCCGCCAGGCATAACCCCCACCCCAGTGCTCCACCGTCAGAACCCGAGATGCGCGAGGGAGGGAGGGGAACCCGGGGCAGGGGAGCGCAGGCTGCGGAGGAGGGGCTGAGGCGCTGGGGACTAGGAGTGGGAACACGGTGGTGTCTGGGGGAGGGGCGATTGGGGCGGGAACCCGGCCCAAGCTGGAGAGGGAATGCGAGGGAGAGGGCGGAGCTGGGCCGCAGAGGCCCCTCCCCGTGGCGGCACCGCTGCCCGGCCTGTTATTCTGCTCGCCGCTCCGCCGAGACCCGCGCAGCGCCAGTGGCTCGGGGGTCGGCCCCCGCCTCCTCCCCTACCCGGGCCTAGAGCCACCCCCAACCAGAGGCCAGAGACCGAGCTGGAGTTGCTGCCGCATCCCGGCCCAGCCTCCCTCCCATCCCTCCCCCACGACTGGACATCTGGACCCTGGGCCCCGCACCGACAGGGTTCCGGAAACCCTCCCCGCCCAGCTCAGCGGCCGGGCCCCGCACCGCCCTCTCCCCAGAGCCCCCAACCCTCCTCCAGTCCTGACTTCCGCCTACCCCTGGACACCTCCTCCCGGTCCCCTCCCTCCCCCCCTCCCCCAGCCTGGACCGGGGTAGGAGGGAGGGGGGGTGTGCGCCCTGCGCCGTCCCCGCCCCGCCCCCCGTGATTCCCCCTGCATGGCCGGCCCGGGTGGGGGGTGCGGGGGGGCCCGGGCGCCATGCGGGGGGGGCACAAGGGGGGTCGCTGTGCCTGTCCCCGTGTGATCCGAAAAGTGCTGGCAAAATGCGGCTGCTGCTTCGTCCGGGGGGGACGTGGTGAGTGCGAGGTTGAGAGGGCCCAATGTTGAGTGGGGGGCGGGCTGGGGGTTCACGGCATCTGTTTGCCCTGGTCCTAGAGATTTAGAGCTTGAGACTGTATGTGTGTTTTCCAGGAAAGTGACTCAATAGATGAGCTCTAAGATCCCTACTGCCTCCAAATTTCCATTAGTTCAAGTTAAGGAAATTGGGGAAGGGACAGGGGATTTATCTCTTTCATGTAGTTTTTTATGGATATGAGAAAATCCCACCCACAGTCCCCTTAGGCCTAGAACCATGTATCTCCCCCCAATTCCTTTTGCTGAGAATCTACTTCTGAAAAGGGACAAGGGAATAGAGGAATGAGGGGGTTCTACTGTCCCTGAGCCCAGGCCAGAGACAAGCCTGATGCACTCTCCTCAGCGGCCCCTCCATTGGGTTTGTGCATATGTTGGGGAGGTGGGCTGCACAAGTCTTTTCTTTCCATAGTGATTACTGCAATTGCTGGAGGAAGGGTCTGGGAATGGCAGATGGACTCTTAGCTCTTCCCCCCCCTTCCCAGAGAATGGTCTGTACCCATTGGAAGGGGGAGGGTTGTAGCTGAGCAGATGGCCACCCCCTGCTTCTAGTGTCTGCCCAGATGGCTGCCCCCACCCCCATATCTATGCTGTGCTCAGGATATGGGGAACCTCCACATGTAACTGGGGGTTCCAGGCCTGGGGAACCAGGTGTTTACTGTCCTTTCTCCCAAGGGTACCCTGGTGAAATTTTCTGCCCTGGCCAACTCAAATGAGGATGGCAAGAGAGTGAGCCCTGGAAGAAAGGGGCTGAGCATTATGGAGAGGAGACCCTGAGTCTGGAGCTGGAGCAATGTCTATCACCTCTTTTCTTTTTCCCCCCCTATTAGAATCCTATTCCATTGCTGGCAGTGAGGGGAGTATATCGGCTTCTGCTGCCTCGGGTCTGGCTGCCCCCTCTGGCCCCAACTCTGGCCTCAGCTCTGGCCCCTGTTCCCCCGGCCCCCCAGGGCCAGTCAGGGGCCTAAGGAGATGGTTGGATCATTCCAAACATTGTCTCAGTGTGGAAACTGAGACAGACGGTGGTCAGGCGGGACCATATGAGGTGAGCAGGGAACACCACAGAAGCATCCATGGGACATAGGACATCCATGAAGGCCACTGGGAGAGAGGGCAACTTGAGGGCACTGGTCATTAGGGAGACTCAGCTGTTGTCCATGACCTCTGACACTTGACCTCTGGCCCCCAGAACTGGATGCTGGAGCCAGCTCTAGCCACAGGAGAGGAGCTGCCAGAACTGACCTTGCTGACAACATTGTTGGAGGGCCCTGGAGATAAGACACAGGTATAAAGAAATGCTCTGGGGAGGCTCTCCTCACCCAAGAGGCATTCATTTGCTTACCCTAGCATGTTCTTTCCTTCCAGCAACCTGAAGAAGAGACTTTGTCCCAAGCCCCTGAGAGTGAGGAGGAACAGAAGAAGAAGGCTTTGGAAAGGAGTATGTAAGTGTTCTGACCTTTCCACCCTCCGCAATTGGACAACTTCCAGAAGATTGTCCCTCACGTTTTTTTTGGTTTTTTTTGAGACAGAGTCTCGCTTGTTGCCCAGGCTAGAGTGAGTGCCGTGGCGTCAGCCTGGCTCACAGCAACCTCAAACTCCTGGGCTCAAGCAATCCTTCTGCCTCAGCCTCCCGAGTAGCTGGGACTACAGGCATGTGCCACCATGCCCGGCTAATTTATATATATTAGTTGGCCAATTAATTTCTTTCTATTTATAGTAGAGACGGTGTCTCGCTCTTGCTCAGGCTGGTTTCGAACTCCTGACCTTGAGCAATCGGCCCGCGTTGGCCTCCCAGAGTGCTAGGATTACAGGCGTAAGCCACCGCGCCCGGCCCGTCCCTCATGTTTTAGATGGAATTCCCTCTGAGGTTGGCCATGGTGATGAAGGGGCTTCTAGTGAAGGAGGGAGGAACTGGCTAAACGAAGGATATGCCCAGACTCTGAAGTGGGGGCACCCTCCTGCTCAATTCTTAGGTATGTCCTGAGTGAACTGGTAGAAACAGAGAAAATGTATGTGGACGACTTGGGGCAGATTGTGGAGGTAGTGCCCTTTACTCCTTCCCCACCCTGGCCTCCCTGCCCTTTCCCTCTGCCCAGGGCTATTTTCAGAGGATGGCTTGGTGCTCCTCTGTCCCTGCTCCCAGTCCTCTCTGCTCCTGGACTCTGGGCGGTGGGGAGGGGGGTTCCCACCAGGGCGGGTGCCACATGCTCATGCTCCAACCCCAACCTTTCCACAGGGTTACATGGCCACCATGGCTGCACAGGGGATCCCTGAGAGTCTTCGAGGCCGTGACAGGATCGTATTTGGGAACATCCAGCAAATCTATGAGTGGCACCGAGAGTGAGTAGTGGAGCCCTGAGAGCCAGGTGCTGGGAAGGGCATTCATCTCCTCTCTGAATTCCAACTGCGGCCCAATTGTGACCTGAGGAATGTTTGGAGAAGTTCTGTAGGGAGCATTATTAGGGAAGACAGGTTGAAATTGGGGGGTGTGGGGGAGGTAGGGGTTCCGAAATGTATTTAACCTACCTTTCTTTCTTGGCCAACCCCTTCAGCTATTTCCTACAAGAACTACAGCGCTGTTTGAAAGATCCTGATTGGCTGGCTCAGCTATTCATCAAACACGTGAGGCTTGAGGGGATGGGGCCTAGGAGGGGAGAGGCTTGGGAATGGGTGGAGTTCTTTGGAATTGTGCCCTCCTTTCCTTGCCCAAGCAATCCCTCTGGTAAATGTTACTTACCCCTGTTAGGAGCGCCGACTGCATATGTATGTGGTGTACTGTCAGAATAAGCCCAAGTCAGAGCACGTGGTGTCAGAGTTTGGGGATAGCTACTTTGAGGTTAGTGGCTGAGGTGCCTTGGTGGGGAAGGAGGACAGAATTGGCCTGAGCAGGCTTTCCAGGCTGCATAGCCACTGTGTTCCTGTCCCCAGGAGCTCCGGCAGCAGCTAGGGCACCGCCTGCAGCTCAATGACCTCCTCATCAAACCTGTGCAGCGGATCATGAAATACCAGCTGCTTCTCAAGGTCAGGACCACCTTCTCCCTGGGGACACAGCTGGCTGAGATAGGTTTTTCCTCATTCATTTCCCCAGGGTTCTTAAGGCTTCCTCAGACTTCCTGGAGGGTCCTCACCTGCGTCCTTAGGGGAAGATGGAAGAGCTTCTGAGGGTGTCCTCATGACCTCCCTGAGCATTTCTTCTCTGTCTTAGGATTTTCTCAAGTATTACAGTAGAGCTGGGATGGATACTGAAGAGCTGGAGGTGAGGCTCCCCACATCTTCCAGGACACACCATGTATACCTTATCTTCATAGTCCCATGGGTTCCCGCAGTCCCTTAGGTGGTTTACAGCTGTCTGGTTTTTAGGAGGTGGCATGTTGGGTTTGAGACACAGTCTGAAGAGGCAGGTAGCTGAGGACCCCTCTTTCCTAATAATGACTCTCTTCACCCAACAATACTCCTCTCTCACCTGTGTCCCAGCAAGCTGTGGAGGTCATGTGCTTTGTGCCCAAGCGCTGCAATGATATGATGACCCTGGGGAGACTGCGGGGATTTGAGGTATGGAGATGGGGCAGGAAACTGGTGCCCAGTTTCTGCCCCAGTCTTAACACTCTGGAGGTCCTTATGGGGAGCTCTTTCCTCCTGAGCTAATCCCATGTTTGGCTGGGAGTGTCAGAGCAGGAAAGGAGGAACAAGGAATTGCCCTTTTTCTCTTCTTGTTCTTTCTCAAAGGCTGCTATCCTTTGGTTCCAGGGCAAACTGACTGCTCAGGGGAAGCTCTTGGGCCAGGACACATTCTGGGTCACAGAGCCTGAAGCTGGGGGGCTGCTCTCTTCCCGGGGTCGAGAGAGGCGCGTCTTCCTCTTTGAGCAAATCGTCATCTTCAGTGAGGCTCTGGGAGGAGGAATTCGAGGTGGAACACAGCCTGGATATGTATACAAGAGCAGCATCAAGGTGGGGAGGGGGGTGGCAAGGAAGGGCTCGGACTGGGATGGGGAGAGGCCTCTGAGAGGATGTCTGGCTCTTGGGTGTGTTGGAGGGAGCAGGAACCAGAGAGGACCTAAAGAATCTGGGGGCTGTTGCCTATTTGCCAATTCAGGTGAGCTGCCTGGGACTGGAGGGGAACCTCCAAGGCGACCCCTGCCGCTTTGCACTGACTTCCAGAGGGCCAGAGGGTGGAATCCAGCGGTATGTCCTGCAGGCTGCAGACTCTGCAATCAGTCAGGCCTGGATCAAGCAAGTGGCTCAGATCCTGGAGACCCAGCGTGACTTTCTCAATGGTGAAGCTCTCATCCTTCCCCCACATACTCCCTCAGCCCTTTGACCTCTTGAATTCCTCACTTCCCAGCCTCCAACCCTGCCCTCTGACTCTGCTTCTCCCCACCGCCCCCTACTTTTCCACTACTAGCATAAGATTTGGTAACTCAGAATCACCTAAAAATTGGCTGATAGTCTTTGAGATGGAGGACAAAATGGGAGGATGCCACAAGCAGAGCCCCTGGGGACCTGTCTCTGCTGTAACCCTCCTTCTCCTCTCTCTGCCCCAGCATTGCAGTCACCCATTGAGTACCAGAGACGGGAGAGCCAGACCAACAGCCTGGGGCGGCCAGGAGGGCCTGGGGTTGGGAGCCCTGGAAGAATACGGCCTGGAGACCGGGCCCAGGGCAGCACACACACACCCATCAATGGCTCTCTCCCCTCCCTGCTGCTGTTGCCCAAAGGAGAGGTGGCCAGAGTGCCCCTGCCTCTGGACACACAGGTATGAGGAATAGAGTTTCCTGGTTATTAGGGGTATAATGGGGAAGGCTTCTCTTGTTCCAGGATCCCCAACCCCCTCTCCCTTATGCCATTCCTTTCTTCCACCACCTTCCTTCTGTCTGCCCCTTTCTACTTCCCATCCCCTACTCTCCTCCCCTCCAGTTTAACTCAAAAGCTGACAGTGTCAGATAATCTAAGGTATCTGGCAAGAGGAGGTGGCTTGGCTAGGGGCTTAAACTGAAAAGAAGCAGGATGACATGGCTCATACTTGTAATTCCTGCATTTTGGGAGGCTGAGGCAGGAGTGTTGATTGAAGTCAAGAGTTCAAGACCAGCCTGGGCAACATAGTGAGACCTCATCTCTACAAAAATGTTTAAAATTTAGCCAGCCATAGTGGTGCTTGCCTGTAGTCCCAGCTATTTGGGAAGCTGAGGTGGGAGCATTGCTTGAGCTCAGGAATTTGAGACCAGCCTAGGCAACACAGCAAGACCCTATCTCAAAAAAAAAAAAAAAAAAAAAAAAAAAAATTAGCCAGGCATGGTGACATGCACCTGTAGTTCTAGCTACTTCAGAGGCTGAGGGAGGAAGATTGCTTAGGCCCAGGAATTTGAGGTTACAGTGAGCTGTGATCATGCCACTGTACTCCAGCCTGAGTGACAGAATGAGACCCTGTCTCTAAAAACAAACAAACAAAAAAACTGAAGAGAGAGGAGTAAGGGTAGTAGATCCAGGGCCTGTTTTGATCCTCTCACTTGAATCTTTCTTCAGGACCTCAGTGACATCCCCCAGCCTCCTCATGACTCTCCTTCAATCCCTCCGACTCCAGACACCCCACCTTGCCAGGCCAGACTTGCCAAGCTGGATGAAGATGAGCTGTAACTGGTGAAGGTCATGGGGGTGGTGCTGACTCTGCCACCTAGTCCTCAAGGAGCTCCTGGGCAATCCTGGCACCACTCCAGATTCCTCCCTCTTGGTGTTGAGAGGGTGGCCAAGGCTGGGAGTGACACCACTTGGAGGAGAGTACCTAGACCCAAAAGGACTTCTTTCTGCCCAAGGAACATAGGTTCCTTCAGCTCCCACCCCTATGCATGCATCACAGTCCCTCCAAAAGGAGGATATTGGGTGGGTGGGAGGGCAGGGGCAGGGGCAAGATAGAAATGACTGGCTTTGTTTTTGATTTTTGTTTTCCTTGTTTTCTGAGAATAAAGGTTTTGTTATATCATCAAGGCTGCTGTCTTGGCAGAGGGAAGGGGAAGCTGTAGAGGGAAAAAGTAAGGTGAAGTGGTATGGAAGAGATCAGCTGAGGAGGGGTCTGAGGAAAGGAGAAGGGCACAGAGTATCAGATAAAAGATGGTGCTATCTTTGTCCCTCACCTGCAGTTGCAGCACCTCTCAGCCCAGACCCAGGGCTTGAGGCCACTGAAAAGCCCTAGATTCTTGATGTTGATTCCCCTTTACCCAGTTACTTACCCGTCTTTCCCCCCATCCACCCTCCTGTCTGGACTCCACCAGAAAGCCCAGTGTGTGTGACTTCCCACCATTCCCCCAACACCCAGGTACTAAAGCACAAAATGCCCAACGTACCTTTCCTTCTGAGGCCTCCACATTTGACTGAGGCAGAATGGGAAGGTGGAGGATCCTGAGGTCTGTGACCCCTTCCTGGCTCTGGATCTCCTTATCTTTGCTGTCTGGGAGGTCATAAGTCACGTTCATAGTGAGCAGAAGGGGATTCTTCTTCAAACCACAGACCCAAGAATGAAGAGCCCAAGGGTGTCTTCACCCCTCCCAACTTCTGGGAAGGCCACTGGAACAAAGAGAGCTAAACATGCAAAGATCCATGTCCAAATGCCCTGTCCTGGGTCCTTGTGCATCTGTGTGTCCACTTGTCCCTTGGGCTCAGTCACGTGCACTGGCTTCCTTAGCAGACAATGGACCACTGGGGTGGGAGGGTGAGGAGGAGCTGGAGCCTCCCTGTGGGCCTGAGGTCCCTCTGGCCGACAATGGGGGGAGGGATCTGTAAAGGGGGGACAGGACGCAGGGCCCAGATAAGGCTTCTGGGGAACAATAGGAGGAATTGAAGAAGGGAGACCCACCCTCACTGTACCCCACACCCAGGGCTTTGGGGTCAGGGACTGGGGGACCAGAGGGTGATAGGGAGGGGTGCTGAAGATTCTTGTAAGTGGGGGAGGGGATGGTGGCAGATAGGATTCTGGAGCTCAGAACCTTTGTGTTTCTCTAGGAGCCACGGGGATATGTGAGGTGGGTAGGTGACTCCTTTGTGCCTAGTTTAACCACATATGTGTTTTTGAGTGCCTACTTTGTGAATAGCACTTGAATGTAATAAATGGTGCTCAGTTTTTTTGGCTCCTAAGAAATAAAGTTTTCTATCAGTTCAATATTTCCCTTGAAGTAGGCCCAGCCACTTCTGCAGAGGTGTGGGATGGTTTTGTCATTATCCCTGTGTAATGCCTGTGGCTGCTTCCCATCTCAGTAATTTGTGAAACTGCTGAGGCCAATAGCGGCCTCTTACACTTTCTTAGGGCAAGCTATGCCTCATGAAGGTTTGGATCTGGCATGGGGTTCAGAATGGGCGCTGAACTTTCTTGCTTCAGCTGGGAGAATGCAGTGGCTCTGGGAAGGACCGGTGACCAGAACCACCCTGTGTCTCTGCCCAAAGTGCAGATAGGGAAAAGAACTGCTAGTGACGTGAAAAGGCCAAAGAGTGATAAATAGTGGGTGTTGGGCGCTGCGGTATGCCTCTCTCTCTGATCTCCACACCTTTTCACAGCCACCCTTCATAGCAGGCCCGGAGCCAGCGACCTGATCCGGCCAAGGATGTCCGAGGAAACGCCTAACATAGAGACTCTGCCTCCCCAAGCCGCACCTCTGCCTGACCTCAGACGGTCCCCCAGAGAGTGCGCCCTACAGGGCCGGATTGGCCTCTGCTTCAAGGGAGGCGGGACTCAGGGCTGGGGGACTAGGGGTATTTAACAGCGGGCGGAGCTGGAAGTGGCCAAGGGCAAAATGAGTGCGCTGCTGGGCACCAGGACCTGCCCATGCCAGGGAGAGGCCTCCGACCTGAAGTCCCCTCTGGGCGCCAGGCTCAGGGAACCTCTTACCGAGGCTCGGTTCCAGCAGCTCTTCGGGGGCGAAGAGCAGGAGCCGGAGCTACCGGCAGAGCCCCGCTTGGCCCGGCTGTGCAGGCTGTGGAGGCTGCCGGCCAGCGCTTGTTCCGGGACGGGGGCGTGGCGCCTGCTGCGGGCTCGGCTGCCCCCGCTGAGCTGGCTGCCCCACTACCGCTGGCGGGCCTGGTTGCTCGGGGATGCGGTGGCTGGAGTGACCGTGGGCATCGTGCACGTGCCCCAGGGTGAGAGGCCCCAACACGAGCCTGTCAGGCACCGGGGCTCTAGAGGGCTTTGGGGAGGAGGTGTGGGGAGCAAGGAATCTGGGAGAGAATTGGTGGGTTAGTATCGCTGAGGTTTAAGAGAGGGGGATCTGAGCCCAGTTTGGGGTAAGGACTGTGGAGCTCCATCAGTTCCCTACCCCCACCTCCCCTTATCTGCTCAATCCTGCGAAAAGCCTAGAACACGTTACGGCTCAGGAAACTGGAGAGAGGCACAACGCTTGCCACCAGGACTAGGACGACAGGGATCCTTGACCTCATCCACCCCACGACCTCCCACTGAGACCCATTAACCCCTCGGTTCCCTCCTGTGGCAGGATTTAGCATCCCTGATGCCAGTCTCTAAGCTGACAGTGTGAGAAGGGGGCAGGTCCAGGAGGCCCGGCAGCACCCCTCCTTACTGCAGACCTTTTACTCTACTTCTTCCCCAGGCATGGCTTTTGCCCTCCTGACCTCTGTGCCCCCAGTTTTCGGACTCTACACTTCTTTCTTTCCCGTCCTCATCTACAGTTTGCTGGGTACTGGGAGACACCTGTCCACAGGTGAGTGACCAGGGGCTTCCAATGACTCTTCTTCATCCCTGTGGGGTGAAAATAGACAGGGGTTTGTCGCTTCCCTTCTTGTAAGCTTCTTGTCTCTTACTTCTCTCCTCACCTATCCCACCTTCCATTCCCTCCTGTGCAACCCTGCCACGGAACTCTGAACTAGACAATGCTCCCTGGCGGGTGCAAAGAAATAGGAATTTACTTGGACTTTTTCCCGCTGTGAAATTTGGTTAAAAATGAACATTTCTGGGACTTGGAAGGGGAAAAAGAGATACGGGGCCCCCCAAAGGAGCATGCAGAACTTGGAGAGCATGGAGGAGGGAGCACTTTTTTGCCGACTGGTGCACCCTCCTTTCCTTCCTCTCCATGGGTTCCCAGCTGCTGCACTAGCTGGTAGCCCCACGGCCTTCATGGGGCAGCAGCCTTCCAGAAGAGTGGAGTCTGACAGCAGCATCCTGGCCTGAGCTGTTTGCTCTACCCTGTCCCCCACCCCCGCCGGCCCCATGGCTGGTGATCTCTGCGTTTGTCCCTTGGCGCCAGGAACTTTCGCTGTACTCAGCCTCATGACTGGCTCGGCTGTGGAGCGGCTGGTGCCCGAACCCCTCGTGGGGAACCTGAGCGGCATCGAGAGGGAGCAGTTGGACGCTCAGCGGGTTGGAGCGGCCGCAGCCCTGGCCTTCGTGAGCGGGGCGCTAATGGTGAGGGAGGACCCGGGGAGGCGCTGGGTGGGGCGGTCGGGGCAGAGGGAGGGGCAGGCTTCGTGCTCAGGTTCAGGAGGGCAGAGGAGCGCACGGAAGCTGGTGTGCGGTGCTCTGGGTGGTCTGCTCTTCCTCCGGTTGGTGACTGCGCGTCTTCTCCCCGCAGCTGGGAATGTTCGCGCTGCAGCTCGGTGTCCTGTCCACCTTTCTGTCCGAGCCTGTGGTCAAGGCGCTGACCAGCGGGGCCGCGCTGCATGTGCTTGTGTCCCAGCTGCCCAGCCTTTTGGGGCTGTCCCTCCCGCGCCAGATCGGCTGCTTTTCTCTCTTCAAGGTGAGGGTTGGGCGGGGTGCGGTGGCTCATGCCTATATCCTAGCACTCAGGGAGGCCGAGGCAGTTGGATAGCTCAAGAGCCTGAGCAAGAGCGAGACCCTGTTTCTACTGAAAAAAAAAAAAAAAAAAGAAAGGAATTAATTGGCCAACTGAAAATATACAGAAAAAAAAATTAGCCGGGCATGGTGGCGCATGCCTGTAGTCCCAGCTATTCGGGAGGCTGAGGCAGGAGGATCGCTTGAGCCCAGGAGTTTGAGGTTACTGTGAGCTAGGCTGATGCCACAGCACTGTAGCCCAGCAACAGAGTGAGACTGTGTCAAAAAACAAACAAACAAAAAGGTGAAGGTGGGAGGACTGGGGAGAAAGGGGTCCTAGCGGTTCAGGGAAGAGGGAACTTCAAAAGGGAGGAAGTACGGGAGGGTGTCGAGACAGCGTGTGAAGAGGAGGAAGGACCTCGTGGCTGATGAGGGCGCTGCGGAGGTGGAAGCCCAGATGGCGGGCGGGAGAGAGGGCCTCGCCGGGGCCTAGCGGGTGCGCGTTGGGGGCGGTGAACCCGGCACAGGGCCCTCTGCTCACCGCCCTTGCCCGCAGACGCTGGCCGCCGTGCTGACCGCGCTGCCCCGGAGCAGTCCGGCCGAACTGACCATCTCGGCGCTCAGCCTGGCGCTGCTTGTGCCGGTCAAGGAATTGAACGTGAGATTCCGAGACAGGCTGCCCACCCCAATCCCGGGGGAAGTCGTCATGGTGAGAGAATGGCCCTGTGCGCCGGCCCCCTGCCCTGCACAGACCCTGTCCACCGCGTGGGAACTGGCCGCTGCCGCCCCCTTGTGGAATGCAGCGAAGTCACGGAGGAGAGGTCGTGTTCCCTCATGGACTTTTCAAGGCCGCCTCCCAGAACACTCTGACCTTCCAGTAGCCCCCATCCACACTGTCACACTTCTCTCACAGAGTTCCCTCTAGACCTCTCAGAATACCATCTTCCTTCCTACAGCGCTCCCTGGAGGTGTCGCTGGCCAGGGCATCTCCTCTCACCTCTCCTCACCAGGGTTCTTCACTGGGATTCAGTGTATTTCCCAACCCCCTTCCCCATTTCTCTCTTTTCAGACTAAATAAATATCTCGTGCCCCCATAGATATCAATGTATCTCTAAATACAGTCCAGCTCCCCTACTTAGAATGATTCAGTTGCACCTCTTGGTATCCCTCGGGTACCAAGGGTACCTGGAACTTCCTCGGGTCCAGCTCTCTCCCTAGCCCCCGGCACACATCATTCCTCTTCCCCATGCCCTCACTCCTAAGTCAGTTATCAGATGCCCATCCCAAACGCACCCTGTTCCCTCAGGTGCTGGTATCCTGGGACCACCTGGTCCTGCACTGGGATCCTATCCTCTCTCATCCTGAGCCCTTCTAGCTCCTGCTAGGGCTCTATCTTCTTCCATGCCCTACTTTTGTTCTTTCCCAGGTGCTCCTGGCCTCTGTGCTCTGTTTCACCTCTTCCCTGGACACAAGATACAATGTCCAGATAGTGGGGCTGTTGCCTGGAGGGTAAGAGAGAATGAAAAGACACCATCTTTCTCCTCTCCCATACAACACTTCCTCTTGTCCTGGCCCACCCTATTTTCTCTGCCTTCCCATCTCCCCACAGTACCCAACCCATCCTCACCATGGACCTCTCCCTCTCCAGATTTCCCCAACCCCTCCTCCCCAACCTGGCTGAGGTGCCCAGTATTCTGGCTGACTCTCTGCCCATCGCATTGGTTACTTTTGCTGTGTCCGCCTCCCTGGCCTCCATCTATGCAGACAAGTATAGCTACACTGTTGACTCCAACCAGGTATGACTCGACTGTGGACCCCAACCTCATTCAAGAGACAACCCTTTACCCTGACTTCCTCCCACGCCTTTGCCTCTCCCCTCTTCACCGCACTGTATCCCTCTAGGAGCTCTTGGCACACGGTGTCTCCAACCTCATCTCCTCCCTCTTCTCTTGCTTTCCCAACTCGGCCACGCTGGCCACCACCAGTCTACTAGTGGATGCTGGTGGGAATACACAGGTAAGAGGGCATCCTTGGATGACAAGGTAGGACAGGACATCCAGGCCAGGTGGTGGTGGTGGAGAAACAATTGGAAGATTGCTAGATATCCAGGTGGCATCTATATAAAGGAGGCTGGGAATCTGTGAAGGAGGTTGAGTGAGCATATGGAATTATCTAGATAGGAGAGACAGAATATAGCAATGATCTATCAAGACCTTTGTAGGCTTGTCCTGGCCTATGCTTTTTATGCTCTGATGTGCTCAGTTCTAACAGGGTGGACTGGCAGCACACACAGCAATCTCCTTCTCAGTTTAGGAGGGCAGTCCTAAGAATAGGACTGGCTCTTAAAGGCATGAGTGGACAATTTAAGATGGGAGGACAGGGGAAAAGAGCTCTGTAGGTTCTAAGCACTGAAAAAGTTTATGGTGCCCCAGGTGTAGTTAAAAATAAAAACAATACTAAACTGTAAAATAAATTTAAGAGAAGAAATTCTGATTTTTTCCATGAGGATATTTTCTTTTAAAATAAATATCACATATCAAATTCCCCCTAATGTTTTTGGTTTTCCTTACTTTGCTGGCACCATAAGCATGTGGTTAGCCTGCTAACAAGGTAATACAATGGTGGTTTTAAAGATGGAGGTGGGCTAGAAAAATAGGGAACTTGAACTACATATGTCTAGGGGGAGACTGGCAAATGACAGGCATTTAACTGGGGGAAGGAGAGGGGTGGGCGTGAATGGCAAAATGTCAAGAAGGGGGCTGAGGAGTGAGGAATATCTGTGTGGAAGGAGATTTGGGAGGAGGGAGGCTTCTGAAGAAGATAAGGCCAAGTGGGCAGGGAGACAAGCTCTCATGTGAGGGTGGGGGGTTCCCTTCCTGCTTTGCTTCCCTCCTTCTTGCTTCCAGCTGGCAGGCCTCTTCTCCTGCATGGTGGTCCTGTCCGTGCTGCTCTGGCTGGGGCCCTTCTTCTACTATCTGCCGAAGGTAAGGAGCAGAGGAGGCATGGGCATAGCTGGGAGGGTGGCTATATGCCAGGACATTGGGGTAGTCAGCCCATCTCCTCTGCCCCAAGGCTGTCCTGGCTTGCATCAACATCTCCAGCATGCGCCAGATGTTCTTCCAGATGCAGGAACTTCCACAACTATGGCGCATCAGCCGCATGGATTTTGTAAGAAAAGGCATTACCCTCAGATTGCTCCTTCCTGTCTTCCCAGCATACCCAGCCTCTGCCCTAGACCAAAGCTAATTGTCCTGGTCCCAAGTTCTGCACCCCCACCCCAATACCTCTGAGAAACACCCTTTACTTAGAGACAAGAGAAAGGGTGGGGTTTGAACCCCTCAGATGTGAATATTTATAACCTTGCAACTGGCACAAGATCTGGAGTTATTACATTTGGTGTGTGTCCTATTGGGCCAATCTTGTCCTTTCCTTTTGTCATGTTTTCTACTTCTTTCTGGGCCATCTGTCCCCATCACTTGCCTTGGTAGTCACTGCCCTTGGACTCCTTGCCCTGCAGTGATGGCCTGGCCTTTCTTTTGGGCAATCCACCCCTATCCCTGTCCTGCAGGCTGTGTGGATGGTCACATGGGTGGCTGTAGTGACCTTGAGTGTGGACCTGGGCCTGGCCGTGGGTGTCATCTTCTCCATGATGACTGTAGTCTGCCGCACCCAGAGGTGGGTGCAGAGATGAGTGGAGTTGAGATTAGGGGAGGGGAGAGAATGGGGAGCTTGGGGTGATTCTCCAGCCAGGCCAGGCTGGAGAATCTGACCCCAGCTACTTCCCTAGGGTGCAGTGTCTGGCACTTGGACTGGCTGAGGGGACAGAGCTCTACAAGCCACTCAGAGGGAAACATAAGGTGAGTGGGCTACAGCCAAAGAAGGAAGGGAGAATTAGACTCGGATGTTTCTCTGACCCTCTGACCCCTTAGCTTCTCCAGGTCCCAGGGCTCTGCATCCTGAGCTATCCAACACCACTCTACTTTGGGACCCGTGGGAAGTTTCGCCACATCCTGGAATGGCATCTGGGGCTTGGAAAAGGAGGCAAGGTGAGGAACCTTGGTCTAGGAGGAGTATGGATCCTCTGGGAGTGGGAAGCAAGTGGGTGTTCTAAAGAGGATCCTTGTGCTCAAGGGGTGCACATTTATGCTTGTGTCTTGGGTGTGGTGACTGCCCTTCTCTACTCATAGGAGACTCCAAAGGCAGATGGCCCCCCTGACAGAGGTGAGATGGGACAACAAGGGGGGAGATTTGGGCATGAACCATGGCAGCATCTGGGTATTCTTGTCTTCTCCCATCCTAGTTGCTGAGCCTGTCAGAGTGGTGGTCCTAGACTTCAGTGGTGTCACATTTGCTGATGCTGCTGGGGCCAGAGAAGTGGTACAGGTGAGGGAGAGGGTAGGTTGAAGAGAAGCCCTTACCATCTCACTCATGTCCACTGAATTGGGACTTGACCACTCTGCCCCACCCCCACAGCTGGCCAGCCGATGCCGAGATGCTGGGATCCACCTTCTCCTGGCTCAGTGTAATGGTAGGAGGGGGTGGGGCATGGTGGGGCCCAGCGCCTGGGGAATGACTGGACAATTAGGGGAGGGGAGAGAACACAGTGTGGACTTAGGGCCTGAGGGACTGACACCCTTCCCACACAGCCTTGGTGCTGGAGACACTGACCCGGGCAGGGTTCCTGGACAGAGTGAGCCCAGAACAGCTGTTTGTGAGTGTCCAGGATGCAGCCGCTCATGCCCTGGAGAGACTGGTAAGGGTGCAGTGGCATCAAGAGTGGGAGCCAGGAGGTGCTGGGCTGTGGCAAGTGAGGTATGGGTGAGTGGCTGATGACCCAGGGAGAGAGATTTGGGAAAGGGGCAGAGGAAGAAGATTAAGAAGTAAGGGGTGGAGATGAAATCATTAGTGGATTTAAGACCAAGTCAGGCCAGCCTCGGTGGCTCACGCCTGTAATCCTAGCACTCTGGGAGGCCGAGGCAGGAGGATCACTTGAGGTCAGGAGTGCGAGACCAGCCTGAGCAAGAGTGCAACCCTGTCTCTACTAAAAATAGAAAAAATTAGCTAGTCAACTAAAAAGAGAAACAAAAAATTAGCCATGCATGGTGGCTCATGCCTGTAATCCCAGCTACTCGGCAGGCTGAGGCAGGAGGATTGCTTGAGCCCAGGAGTTGAGGTTGCTGTGAGCTAGGCTGACACCACGGCATTCTAGCCCAGGCAATAACATGAGACTCTGTCTAAAAAAAAAAGAAAGAAAGAAAGAAAGAAAGAAAAAACAAAAACAAAACCAAAAATAAAACAAGTCAGGGAGACTGGACTGGGCCAAACTATGGATGAAGAACTGGCCAGGCACCGTGGCTCACTCCTGTAATCCTAGCACTCTGGGAGGCCAACGCAGGCGGATTGTTTGAGCTCAGGAGTTTGAGACCAACCTGAGCAAGCGTGAGACCCCGTCTCTACTAAAAAATAGAAAGAAATTAGCTGGACAACTAAAAATATATAGAAAAAAATTAGTCAGGCATGGTGGTGCATGCCTGTAGTCCCAGCTACTCGGAAGGCTGAGGCAGTAGAATTGCTTGAGCCCAGGAGTTGGAGGTTGCTGTGAACTATGATGACGCCACAGCATTCTAGCCAGGGCAACAGAGTGAGACTGTCTCAAAAAAAAAAAAAAGGAACTGAAGAACTCAGGTTGCAAAGGGAATGGGATTCCCCTCAGATGACTACCAAATCTCAGCAAGGGGTAGGTACTTAATCTATTCCTGACATGTCCCCTCTCTTCCTCAGGAGTTCACTGACCCAAAGATTTGCACAGTGTGGGTCTGACCCAGTCACCTGGAGTACGGAGGGCCCCGGCAATGTGTATGTGAGGAGGACCATGACCCTGGAGCCCCCTTACTTAATGTAACTAATAAAATGAAGCCGAGAGCCTCTGGGATCACGAAGCGAGTCTGAGTGTCTGCACCCAGACCCTAGTGCCCCTTCCTCCAGGCCCACAGCATTGCACAGACACACAGAAAAATGGTTTTCACCATGTGTTCACCAGTCCCCACCCCAGCTCCAGAGTCACAAGTTCTCTCTGTGGGGGTGGGGCTGGAGCCGGTGCACAGTCCTGGATCCAGAGATAGGGGTGGGGGACACAGCCCTGGGATTAATTGCCGGGGGAACTTTGCCACCCCCTCAGTCCCAAGAAGATGAGAGGAGAATGTTTCTCCTTTAGGTTCTTAGAGTCCCCCTGGGCTCTTTGGCACTTGGAAAGTGACCCCCCCCATGTCCTGCCCCATGAGAATGGGGTGGGAGAGAGGACTTGGCACTGGCTATGGGAGAGGTTATGGCTCCATCAGGCCCCTGGGCACTCAGGAAAGGAAGGGTGTCACCAGGACAAGCCCCTGTTTAGGATCAGTTTCTGAAAGGGAAGGGTGAGGAAGGAGGGGCTCAGAGAGTCAGTGGGGTGCTCACTGGGTGGTGGGGTTTGCTGGAAATTCCTGGCAGAAACAAGAAGGCAGGCCCAGCCTGACAGTTGGAAAGCCCCGGGTGGCCGTCACTCCGAGGTCATGCACTGCAGCCGGTGTTTGAAGAAGAGGAGGCGGTGTTTGGCCATCTGACTCTCGTCCAACGATCCCGGGTAACGGTACCGCGCGTAAGTCTCTGCGCCAGCATCCCTTGATGTCCAAGGCAGCTTCAACTTGGATGCATGATCCACAACGACGTCAGAGCAGGAGCCAACTCGAAGGGAACCAAGCCCATCCAGGAAGAATTCTGGGGGCAGAAGGAAGTACACAGTGAAGGGTTCTGAGGGTACAGAAGCCCAACCAGTAATGGAGAACTAAAATTTAGCGTATGGAGAGATGTCCCTTTGCAAAGACTCTGTTCTAAGGATCTAGAGCATGTAAATTGACCAGTGTGGGTCTCAGTTTTACTCGAGTGTAACATAGAGTCAATATATTTGTTTTCAGAGGTTCAATAAACACGGGATGAGCTGCTCCGAGTGTGGTCTGAACCAGGGGAAGCGGCTGGGAGTAGGGGCTGCGGCGACAGCTGCGGGGAAGCTCCAGGGGCCCGGGCAGCTGTGCTGGGGGCGTAGATGGTATGCGGGGCAGGGAGAGGTGGGAGCTGTCTCTCGCCTGGGCGCAGGTCTTGGGAAATCTTCACAGAAGCGCTCTAGGGTTCCCGGTGGCAGCTGGGCTCGGGTGCGGGCGAGGAGGAGGGGCCGGTGACCTTGGCGCCTCGCCGCCTGGAGCCTCGCCCAGCGCCCCGCGGGGTCCCTGCCAGGCCTGGCCGGGAGGGGGCGCACTCACCCAGGTGTGCCACACGGCTGAAGCGCGGGTCGAAGCCCACCTCGCGCACCTTGTCAGTACGCGCCAGGAAGAAGTTGACTACGCCGTCGGTGACCACGCAGCCTGGGAAGCCGACAAGCTCGTGGTGGAAGCCCCGCTTCTGCCGGAGGCAGTTCCCGAGGCCTGGGGCGCCAGGCTCCACGCTCAGCAGCTGCCGGTAAGTGGTGGCGAAGCCCGAGATCTCGCGCACCGCGCCCCCCACCTGGGGGAGTGGGAGGATGGCGCCAGGCAGGGCGGCGACTGTGAGGGGGTTAGGCCTGTGCTCCCTCTTCCCTGGGGTGGCTCCCCTGCCCCTTCCTCTTCCGCTTCTTCCCTGCAGGACCCAGACAGTCCCCTAGGCCCCACTTCATCGTCGTCTTCTCTGTCCCAGGGCTGGCCATTCTCGGCCGCAGCTCCCCACCATGGCCCTAGCCTGTTCAAGGACTTCTCCCACCCCACATCCCGCTGCTCCTCCCCTACCAGGTCTAGCGGCGTCCGCTCCAGCACGTCCACAAGCCTCTCTAGCCGCGTCCGCGCTGTGAAGACGAAGTCATCGTCCACCCACAGCACGTACTTGGTGGTTACTTGGGACACTGCCAGGTTCCGACCTGCAAACCAGCCCTAGGGAGAAGTGTGCATGGTTGAGGTGGCTGTAAAGATAGGACATGCCCCTCTGCCACCTTTCTTTTTTTCCCCTGACCCCTCTCCAAATTTTTGAGTGCTTTTGAGCGACCGGGAGCTAGGTAAAAAACAAGGCAGACCCTCCCCTCTCCCACCCTGTTCTGAGTCATTGTTCTGGAGAAGGGTTTTGGAATGTGCATTCACTCATTCATTCATTCATCCATCAACTATTATATTGAGTGCCTAGTAGGTACTAAGCACCATTCTAAGAATGTAGAGTGAATAAGATAGGCACGATTTCTGCTCCCACGGAGCTTACATTCAAAGAATCCTCATGCTTAACAGGCACCCCCCCCCACCCCCCCGTGATTCTGAGACAGCAGGTCCTCCAATCACTCACTACCCCAGAGGCTAGTGAAGGTGTCTCCTCCCGGAGTCCTCTGGCCCGCAGTGGCCACGCACCTTGCCAAAGGGCATGAGATAGTGCTCAACATGGGGGCCGCTAATACGCTCTGGCTTGTCGCTGTCGTCAGCGATGACCACGGTGACAGTTGGGTAGAAGCGTCGGATACTAGCAATGAGCGTCCGTAGCCGATCATAACGAAGGAAGGTCTTGGTGGCAATAGTGACCAGAGCGCTGATGTTGTACTGGGCTGAGATAGAGGGCGCAGGGTTAGATGCAGACAAGGAGAGCAGGGAGAGAGGAACAGAAAGACATCCTCTCCCAAGGATACCCTTTCCTTTCTTGAGCCCCACCAGGGCTGGGTCTAATATGTCCCTGCCCACCCCCAACCTTACCTCCCTGGGGTAGAGATCCAGGCGGGTACAGGCGTGGGTTTGGGGGGTGTCTTATGCGAATGGTGAAGGCAGCCTCATGTCCCTCCGTGGAGAACCGGACTGGGAAGAAGGGACATGGCATTTGGCCCTAAGGCTGGGACAACATTCTCTTTTCAGCCAATTAACATTTAAGTGCTTACTCTGTGTCCCACCTTTCTAGGCTTTGGTGGACAAGAGCACAAGGTTCTTACCCTTGTTGGGACTTACATTATAACAGGTGGGAGAAAGACAAAAAGTTTTAATTAAAAGCTAACCTTTATTGAGCATTTACTAATGTGTCAAACCCTTTTAAAAACTACCTTAAATATATGAATTCATTTCATCCTCACGACAGCTCTATTTAGTAGATTCCTACTGCAAAAAAGAAGCTGAGGCATAGAAAAGTAACTTGCCTACGTTTATACAATATTAAGCAACAAGCTGATAGGAACCTAGTCAGTTTGGTCCCAGGCTAAGTAAAAAAAAAAAAAAAATCAGCTACTGGTAAGTATTGAATAGAAAATAAGCCAAGCAATATAATAGAGAGGAGGAGACATTCGAGCTGAGATCTAAATGACAAGGAGCCAGCCATGCAAAAATCTGGGAGGTGAGTATTCCAGACAGAGGAAACAGCAAGTGCAAAGGCCCTAAGGTGTGAGCAAACTTAGTGTGACAAACTTTGGGGAGAGGCAGGAAGGCTGCTAGGCCCCTTTTGCTAGAGGAGAAATGAGAGCTCTGGAAGGTAAAGAAAAGCCTTTGCCCTCTAGTAAGTGATGGGTTGGGAATAGAGCCTGAGTCTTCTGGCTCCTGGGGCAGGTCACTTCACCCACCATTGGCCAGAAGGGGAGACACACCCAAGGCTCCAGTTTCCCTCTGGCCTGCTATGGCCCCAGATGAACAAAGGCCCCTTCTCTACCTCCCTGGCCCTGCTGGCCCAATTGAAGTGCCCATTGTGTGGCTGGGCAGCTCTGGCCATTGCCCAAGAGTCTCCCACACCCTCTGTCATTTGCCCACTCCAGCCTTTCTGGGTCCTCTCTGTTTGTCCCATCTGTCCCTACCTCCACCCAGGCCTCACACCTGTGTCTGCAGTGTTGGCCTGGTAGCTTTGGCTGCTGTAAATGACCAGTTGCAGTTGCCGGTTGAGTTGGTCCAGCCCTGGGCTGACAAGGGTCAGCTCTGGCTGCCCTTCTCCAGTAAGAGTCACTCCAGTCACTTCCCCTGCCACATCCCAGGTGCCCAGGGAGGCAGTCAGGTTCACCTAGGAGAGGGGATTGCAGAGTGCAGGGTTAGGCCCCCAACCCACCTCCTGCCTCCCTGACTCCTCCATCCTTCCCTTGGCAGTCCTGTCTCCCTCCCAGCATTCTTTTTTTTTTTTTGAGACAGAGTCTCGCTCTGTTGCCCAGGCTAGAGTGAGTGCCATGGTGTCAGCCTAGCTCACAGCAACCTCAAACTCCTGGGCTCAAGCGATTCTACTGCCTCAGCCTCCCAAGTAGCTGGGACTAAAGGCATGTGCCACCATGCCCGGCTAATTTTTTCTATATATATTAGTTGGCCAATTAATTTCTTTCTATTTATTGTAGAGATGGGGTCTCGCTCTTGCTCAGGCTGGTTTCGAACTCCTGACCTTGAGCAATCCGCCTGCCTCAGCCTCCCAGAGTGCTAGGATTACAGGCCTGAGCCACCACACCCGGCCGCTCCCAGCATTCTTAATGTCCACTGGGCCTCCTTGCCTTCCTTTCTCTTACCTGGTATACCTCCTGACCAGAAGCAGCCTGCAGGCTCAGCCCTGGGGGCAAGGATGGGGAATCAGAATCACACAGAAAGCCCTCAATTCTTCACTTTTTCTTTCCTCTTTCACCACAGCACCCCAAAACTTTTCACCCATTCCTCCTGTCAAAGCCTCAGCAGGGCACATTGAATAACACAGACTAGAGTGAATGATTTTTGACTCCTCATCAAAGCAGTATCTCTTCTATGGACTGCCCTTCCTATCCATATAATCTTTGGTTAATTAGCAAAGAAAAGCTTCTTTCCCCTTAACCTACCCAGTTACAGTGTTCTGCAATTCCTGAAGTCCCTTCTGTCCTCACCTCCCACTTCCTAAGCCCCCTTCTGACCTCAGGTCCCCCTTTCATCAGAAGTTCCTGACTTCCATTCCAATTTTCCTCTCCTTCCCCACCCAACTTTGGGCTCTGCACACCCCGCCCCCCTGTACTGTGGCTGGTCATCCTCTAGGACCCTCTTCCCCACCTGGCACCAAGATGCTCCTGAGGGGCTGAACCTCCACGCCCTGCAGAGGGTACTGTAGGGGGGAGTTGGCAGGGGCTATGAGCAGCTGGTCAGCTGGGGACTGGACCCTGGCAGTGGAGAAAAGGGAGGACAGAGGAGGAGTCAGGAGGAGAGGGGCTCTCTGTCCTGGCACAGCCACCCTCTGGACCTCCCACTGCAGAGTCATGCCCTTCTTTCAAGCTGGTACCTTGACAGGAAGGCCTGGAACTCCTGCTCCCTTGTGGCAGAGGCAGCCTTCAGCTCCTCAGGGTCAAAGGCCTTAGTGAGGTCAATGGCTCTGACCTGTCTCTGGAAGGGGAGGGGAAGACCCCTCCCGCTGGACTCACAACTGCAGTTGTTCTGACCCAGTAGCCTGAAAGGGGGAGGATGGGTCATGCGAGCCAGGCTACACAGCTCCATTCATCCTACAAAACACATAGCGCCCCACACCTTGGCCCCTCAACTCTGCCCATCCACAATCTGTCCCCTTAAACACCGCTCTTCAAATAGTCTACCGGAGGGAGGAGGTTCTTGGATGGATGGATGACCCATTCTCTAAATCTGGACTTTTCTGAGGTGTAGATAGGGCCAATTAATAGGATTTCAGGAGTGCCCACCCACCATCAGGACTCTAGCTGGAATCTCTTCTCACGCCTGGATCAGGACCTAAGGGAGTCTTTCAGGGCCTCCTTTGACTGCATAGCCTCCCATTCCCACGACGAGGTTCAGGGAGAACAGATTTCCCCCTAGCCGAAGCTCAGTAGCCTCCCACCTCACTCCACACCAACAGTCAGGAGAACGCAGGCATCTGAGCCCAGCAGTGGAGGAAACAAAAGCACCCCCGGGCCGCCCTCAGCTAGTGTGGCTACGCTGCCGCTGTCAGCACTCACCCGACCACTCGCTCCTTGATCCTGACGCGGATGTGTGCGTAGCGGGGCTCAGGGGCAAAGTCTGGCAGCTCGGGCCTATGGGGTCCCTGCGGGAGCGCCCACAGCGCAAGAGGTGCCCGGAGGCCCGGGGCGTCCCGGATGCTCGCGTATAGGAGCCCCAGCGAGGCGCAGGCGAGCAGCAGAACCAGCGCGCAGAGGGCACGGCGGCCCAGCCACATCCTGGAGTGGGGGTGGGGGGTTAAAAAGGTAGGAAGAGAAGGCGAGGGCTGGGCCATTGACCCCCGTGACCTCGGAGGCTTCTGCTGGCTCCCAAGGGCGCTCTCCACTCCACACATCGCGCTACGATTTGCACTGCGAATCGTTTTCCTAGTACCCCTCCCCTCACTCCCCGGGCCTCAGTGTCTCCCGGCCTCCTTTCTTCTCGCCCTCTCCCGCATCTCGGTTTCCTTTCGCATCCGAAGCCTGACATCTTGATGCAAGCGACATTCGGATGCGGTGGTTTCGACTCGGCCATGCATAAGTAGAAAAGCACCGCATTATTAGAGCAACGGATGTCCCCAAGCCCGCCCCCCCCTCCGCAATCTGAGATCACCTGGGCCGGGGTGGGCTGCAGAGGGCGGCTCCACACCTTGCTTGTCAGAAAAAATGCAAAACCACGCCCGCGCTATTGGATGCCCCTGGCAGAGGTGACCCGCTGAGTGGCCTCCAGAAGCTGTGCGGGGACAGGGTGGACCAGCGAGCGCTCCTCCTCCCTCCTCCAGCTCGGCCCCTCATCCCGCCCGGGCACTGACCTGTCTAACGGTCTAAGGCTGCAGCAAGATTCGGTCCGGGCTGCGGCCTGGGGGTCCTCATGGGGCTGGGGGCGCCCTGATGGCGAAAATAGGCGTGAGCCTGAGAGTGTGTGGGATCCGCCTGCCTCCGGAGCGCGCCCGACCCCTCCCGCCTTGCAACTCTACCGGCTTTTGTAGACTACCGCGCGGGGGTGGTTCTGGGTGTTTCCTGCAGGGAGGTAGGGGGTGGAACGGAGGTGAGAAACTGCTGCCCCCCAGCCCCAGGAACAAAGCCGGCGATCGCTGGCACCCCTGTGCCACTTGCCGGGCAGGGAGGGCTCAGGCTGCAGTCCGGCTCTGCGTACCGCAGAGCCGCGCGGCTCCGCTCCACTGCTAGTTGCGGCCGAGGCTCCGGCTCCGCGCGGGGAATCGAGCGCCCCGGCGCCTTCTGGTGGGCGCGGAGGAAATTGCCCGGGCGCGGAGCCGACGCGGGAAGGTCCTCCCTCCTAGCCCCCCAGCCCTTGGACACCAAACCCTGGCATCTCAACCGGCTGCCCCTAAGACCAGTCATTCTAGTCCCCACTCGTTCAGAGCATGTAGGAGAGGACCCGCAGTAGGAATTTGGGAGGAGACCTGGCAAAGGCGCGCTGCTAAAACTCATTTCAGGGAAGGTCTGTGTCCTTAGGGTGAGATAAAGGACACAAGCTCTGGGAAAGAAACACTGCCTGGCTAACAAAGACAGATTCACAGCCTACCTCCTCCCCGTCGCTCCCCCCCCCCTCGCCTCCCAATTATCTAATACTCAAGAGATAAGCACTCGGTAATTCAAAGGCCTAATCCCCCTAACTGCCCTTTGGCACAGGTTTGCAGAAGAAAGGAAACCCCAGAGTGGCTAGATTGGAGGTTCTGCCTGTGAACCTCAAGCCATAGCCTGATTCCTGACGCTGCCCAGAATTAGTGTTCTGTGGTTTATGATTCTAATAAAAGATGTATCAAGATTTAATAGGAAAAAAAGATATGATAAGAAATGTAGAACATAATGAAAATGTGTGTAGGATGTATTATTGAATGAGTTGTATAGAAATAAATGACTAATTAGCTGGGGGGGAATGGAATCTCTACCCTCCTTACACCAAAATAAATTCCAGATCTATTAAATATTTTAATACTAAAAATGAAATCATAAAATTAGTCAAAGAAATCATGGAGTTTTTGTTTCATTTTGCTTACAGTCTTGGAGTGGGAAAGAGCTCTCTAAAGGGAAATATTAATAAGTTTGACTATATAAAACACTTGAGTAAAGAAATTACTGTGAACTAAACTTGAGAGGAATGACAAATTGTGAAACTATACTTGCAAAGTCTACTTTCCATAAGCGCTCTAAAACAGGAACAAGAAAAAAATGATCAAATGGGCAAAAATCATAATTAAGCAGTTGACAGACAAAAATGAAAATGGATTTTAAATATATAAAAATCTACTTGACCTTACTCGTAATAAATTAAAAGCAAATTAGAATAACATTGATTGTTATTGATTGTTATCTATCAATGTTAGAATAACATTGATTGTCAAAGGACAATTCCTTGGGAAGAAAAAGAAATAAAAAATGAAAAAGTAAAAAGTAAATAAATGAATAATAAAAACAAAAAGAATAACATTAAAATGCTTTTTGATGACTATGTTAAAAAAGACCAAAGAGTTTGTTAAAACACTCTGTGGCTTTGCTGGCCACAGCCCACACAGCAGCTCTCATACCTTGGAGTCTCATGACAATTTTTAGTTGTCCAGCTAATTTCTTTCTATTTTTTTTTTTTAGTACAGATAGGGTCTTGCTCTTGCTCAAGCTGGTCTTGAACTCCTGAGCTAAAATGATCCACCTGCTTCAGCCTCCCAGGGTGCTAGGATTGATTACAGGCATGAGCCACCACGCCTGGCCTAAGCCATGTTTTCTTGAGCATTCCCAAGATATTAGTTTCTCTTGCAAGTAATAAGCCAACTGAAGAGAAATAGCCTGAAAACTATTTCTTAGTTTTAGCATCATTTGTCCTTGAAGAGGCTAGGAATTTTCAAACCCAAAAATCCCCAGCTCCTTTTTGTTTAACATTCCTTCCTTTTGTTATCTCTTTCTTTTCACATTTTACTATAAGCAGCAAAAAGAAACCAGATGGCACCTTTAGTGCTCTGCTTGGAAATCCCCTCAGCTAGATTGCCCACTTTGTTAGGTATAGTTTGTCCTTTCCATACCACCATGGATTACAGTGGGTCTTCTACTGAGAAGTAGGGTGCTGCTTAAAAATACCTTAAAATGTGGAAGTGGCTTTGGAATTGGATAACAGGTAGAGGCCAGAGAGTTCGGAGATGCATGCTGGAAAGAGCCTACATTGCCATGAATGAAACATTAAGGGTGACTATTGTGAGATCTTAGAAGAGGAGAGCTGTAGAGACATCCTCAGTTTTCATAGAGATTTCCTAAGTAGTCATGATGAGAATGTTGGTAGAATAATAAACAGTCTTCAAACTCACAAAAGATGATAAACTATAGAAAATTCCAAATAATAAAAAACAAATAAAAATAAACAGTAAAGACCGTTCTGATTAGGTCTCAGATGGAAATGAGAAACATGTTATTGAAAATTAGAGGAAAAGCCTAAAGTGGCAAAGAACTTGGGCGAATTGTGTTTGTATCCTCATGTTTTGTGGCAGGAGGAATTTCTGAATGATGAAATAGAATATGTGGCAGAAGAAATATCTAAGCCAAGTGTTAAAGGTGTGGCATGGCTTCTTTGGACTATTTACAGTCCAAAGGCAAAGGCAAGAGAAATAAATTAAAGATGTGATTTATAATCAAAAGGGAAGCAGAAAAAGATTTGGAAAATTCTCAATTTGGCCATATTGTAAAGAATAAAAAAGCTATTTAGGAGAGAACAGGTTGTAGCCAAATGAACTTTTGATAAGGAGATTAGTATGGATAGAAAAAAGCCAGATGGTATTCACTTAGTCAAAGGAAGAATGAATATGCCCAAAGGTACTTTGGTCATCTTCAGAGCTATCCCACCCATTGTAGGCCCAGAATTCCAGAGCCTCGGGGCAGAGAAATTTCAAGGCTTTGCTTCCCATATTTAGATGCAGTGTTCCTTGGCTGTCCCAGCTGTGGCTCAAGTGGGCACAGGTATGATGTGGGCTGCAGTGGCTGCCCCTCTGGAGTACACAGGTAATAAACCTTGGTGGTGTCCATGTGGTGCCATCTCCACTGACCTGGAGAGTGCACAAGCTGTAGGGGCATGGCTGCCTCCACCTAGATTTCAAAGGATGCTTCAGAGGGCCTCAAGATCTAGACAGAGAACTGCCACAGTGGCAGGGCCACCACAGAGAGCCCCAACTATAGCAATGCCCAGGACAGCTGTGGGGGCAGGGCTACCCTCAAGACCCCAGACCAGTAGAGCCACCAGTGTGCAACCGCAGCCTGAAAGCTGCAGAAAAAAATAGCTGGGCATGGTGGCACATGCCTGTAGTCCCAGCTACTCAGGAGGCTGAGGCAGAAGGATTGCTTTAGCCTAAGAGTTTGAGGTTGCTGTGAGTTAGGCTGATGCCATGGCATTCTAGCCTGGGCAACAGAGTGAGACTCTGTCTAAAAAAAAAAAAGAAAGAAAGAAAGAAAGAAAGAAAGAAAGAAAGAAAGAAAGAAAGAAAGAAAGAAAGAAAGAAAGAAAGAAAAGAGAAGAGAAGAGAAGAGAAGAGAAGAGAAGAGAAGAGAAGAGAAGAGAAGAGAAAGAAAACATGGTCTAAAGATGAAGCCAAGGTGTGAACATAAATCCTTTATTAAGATAGATCTAAAGTGGTAGCTTGGGCCAGGTGCGGTGACTCACGCCTATAATCCTAGCACTCTGGAAGGCTGAGGCAGGAGGATTGCTTGAGCTCAGGAGTTGAGACTAGCCTGAGCAAGAATAAGACCCCGTCTCTACTAAAAATAGAAAAATTAGCTAGGCATGGTGGGGAGCGCCTGTAGTCCCAGCTACTCGGGACTGCTGAGGCAGGAGGACTCTTTGAACCCAAGAATTTGAGGTTGGTGTGAGATAGGCTGACAACATGGCACTCACTCTAGCCCAGGCAACAAAGCAACTCTGTCTCAAAAAAATAAAAAAATAAAGTGGTAGCTCAGAGAACTGTTCAGTCTAACAATACAACTTCTAAGAAAGTGTTCTCCCTTAGCAGTCTAAGCAAAAGCTGAAGGTAGAGAAGGGCTTATCTCAACAATGTTTGTGGGTATAGCTTTCATTTAGTTTAGTTAACCTCAATACAATTCATAAAAGACCCACAAAGATTTCAAGAGGATTGTATGATACTTACAAAATTTTATTGGCAATACAATAATTATCTCTTATTATTTTGATACAATAAATGTTTGCTGTTTTAAGCCCTCAAGTTTAGAATAATGTATTATATAGCAATAAATAACTAATATAGAGTATTACACAGCAATGAGAATGAATGATCTACACTATACAAAATAGCTCACAATTCTGAGATACGAGAACTAGACACAAAAGATTACATTCTGTATGATTCCATTTATTAAAGTAGAATACAGGCAAAACTAGTCTATGATGTTGTTAGTCAGGATCATGATTATCTTTGGGGTTGGGGTAGTGACCAGAGGGATCAAAAAGAATCTGGGTGCTGATTACACAAGTGTGTTTAGTTTGTGAAAATACACTGGATTATATACTTGCAATCTGCATACTTTTCTGTGTGTGTGTGTATATATATATTATACATTAATTAAAAGTTTAAAAAATATGTGAGAACTACAATTGTAATCTGCTTTTGAAAATATTCAGAAAGCATCTTCCTCAAGCAGTTCACAAAGTTTCACTTGGGTCATTCTTTCAACAGTTACCTTGGGCCACTCATATAGCTGCAGCCATCTATCTGGCAGGTCAACTGCGGCTAGATGATACAAATTGCTCTCACTCACATGATGGAAAGGTGGTGCTAGTTGGTGGCTGATCTTTCTTTATGTGGCCTTTTGTCCTCAGAGAGGATAATCTGGGCTAGATCAGGCCAGGTCTTTTGAGGCCTTGCTTGTAATTCACACAGGATTATTTCTTCATGAATATATGGGTGTGTGTGTGTGTGTGTGTGTGTGTGTGTGTGCATGAAGTGTCTAAACAAGTCACTACGCTAACCCAGATTCAAGGAATGGTTAAACTCTACCTCTTGATGGATGTGTCAAAAAATAATTTATGACCTTTTTTTTTTGAGATGGGATCTTGCTATTTTGCCCAGGCTGGCCTTGAACTTCTGGGCTCAAGTGATCCTCTCACCTCAGCCTCCCAAGTAGCTGGGTCGATAGGCACAGCCCTCCATCCTCGCACCTGGCTTGAGATCATTTTAATCCTCCACTATCACCAATGACCAGATCTTCAAG